TTAACGTAACCAATAAGGAGTCAAATTATATAGATTTTTCAACCTTAATGGTCTATTCTGAGCTGTTTTTGCCAAAAAGAAAAAAAGATAATCAGTTAAGATTTCATGAAAGAGTTTCAATCTATTCTATTGAAAAAAAACCACGACGAAATGTGTTGTGGCTACATTTTGTATCTGAATGATCATGACCGGATACGAATTTGACAAAACTAAAGTAGACTACTATTTCCGGTGGAATCTGTCAAAATATTTTTTTTATAGTTTTTACTTTACAAAAAGTTAATTTTCTTGTCATTACATTTGTCATTGTCATCATCAGGCTATGAAAGAGTTGTCCTAAATGGTCTGACTTTCTTTACCCCCCGAGAAAACTATATTTTTGAAGAAATGGCCGAACAGAGTGATGGTGGGGGACCTCCCCTACCACCCAAGAGGCCCACCATTATCAGAGCTCAACCGGCAGTTCAGAGTACAAGTGAGTATGGTAAAGATAAAGATATATAGGACTTTAGATTCGGGTGGATAGACACCTGTTTGTTTTAATTGTTTTAATTTAAAAGTGTAAACTTGCTGAGTGTGATGTGGAGAATTTAATGCACAGAAGAATTGAGCATGGCCAAAAAAGGTCTGCTTAACTAATTAAGATAGTGCTAGCCATTTTTGGATGTACAGAGTTATGGAATGAAGGAATTATCCTTTGTAAAACTTGTTTATTTTATTTGTCTAAACAGACATGGCACATTTAAATTAACTTGGTGAAAGTTTTGTTCTTCTTTGTCATGGATGACCTAATTTTGCTAAATTCTGAGATTTGTCTCGTATTGTAGATGGAGTAGAAAAACCAGTACCATCTCGACCAGTGCCACCAATACCAGGCTCTAAACCTCCAGTGCCACAACATTCTTCAAGACCTTCTGTACCGCCACACAGTCCTGGTCACAAACATCATGTTCACAAAATTAATGATGGAGGTTGGCCTTGATTTGTTTTATTAGAAAACTAGAAAAAAAATTTTCTGTTCATCTAAGGCTTTTTTCATATACAATTATGTTGAACAATTTTCAAATGTTTATTTTTTGTAGCTTTTTACTCTTATTGGTTAATGACGCTTGTATAGACGTGAGTCTAGTTACCCGAAGAAAACAATCACCAACGAGAACAAATCAGGGACAAATATCAAACTTGATTCAAATTTAAAATCCTGTCAGGGACGTGATAATCTTGTTGTGGAAGCACAGGTTCAGGAGAGATTTTGTTCATGATTCGAGTCAGCAACTCTGTTCTTGTTGTCACAGTATAACCATTCTATTGAAACAAGTTCTTATAAAAACTTATTTGATAAATTTTCTATTTCTATAGGTGTTCCTCATCTACCAGAAGATAATCTCCTGCCTCCAAAACCTGAGCAAAAATCTCCTGCTGTCACATCGAAGTCATCTGTTAAAAAGCAAGTCTGGTTTTTAGAATTTAATACTATTCTTTTGTTCTATACAGTAACATTGTCCTGTCTTCTTTTAATACTCACATCTATTAAAGGCATATTAACTGCACATTGAAACCTTTTCTTTCTGATTTCTTACTGATCTTCAGGCTGTTGTTATCTCTGAAACTTTTAGACCACTTCAAGCATGACTTGTTTGTAATGAAACCATGATAAAGTTGAGTTGATATCTATCATATTATCTTTATTTTCAAATGCTTGTTAGTAAAGACATCAAAAGTCTGTAAATGGACTTTAAGGCAAAAAAAATGAAGCAGTAGAATGTTAAATTGACTACAGCAATTGTAATTGCCAATGTCTGTTAGATTTTATTGATATTTTCAGAAATGTGAACCTTTTGAATATTTGTCTAAAAAATGTGACAATGAATATCTCAAGGCTAAAATTATTAAAATATTGTGTTTTTCTTACAGGAGACCAGAGATAACTATAGTTGGAGCCAGACCAATGAGTGAAGTTGGTTTTAGATCTGAAAGTTCCCCAACACCTCCCCTTCCTGCCCGCCCCCAGTCTCTAGCAGGAAATAATGGTAAGTTCTTCCTTCAAGCCCTATTCTGTCTCTAGTAGGTGAGGGAAATATGTCTTCATATGTCTTCTTAGGAAACATCATTTAGTACATTTAAGCAAAATATTCTTTAAAATGGTTATCTCTTTTTTGTTTTCACCTTTTTAAGTTTACCTCCATATTGCTGTTCTTTATCAAACTGTTTTGAGATTGCTAATCAATATTTTGTCTTGATATTGGGTTTTTTTTGCATTTGCAGGAGTACCACCCTTAATACCAAAGAGAGAAGCCTCTTTAGAACCAGAACCCAAAACTCCACCCAGCAGATCTAATCCTCCAGTTCCAAACAAACCTCTTCCTCCAGCTCCATCTTCTCGCCCTAAATTTCCACTCAGACCATCTCAACCTGCTAAACCAAAACCCCAACCAAAGCAACCAGAAGAGGGGCTGCTGATTGATTTTTCAGATGAGGTTCAAATTTCATCCCATCCACCTCTAATACCAACTCCAGGGTCGCAGTCAACTTCAATTCTGGACTCTGATTCTTCAGATTCATCAACAGCTCCTTCTGCTGTGTCAAGGCCACCTCCGGCTATACCATTATCCAAACCAGCAGGATCATCAGGAACTCATTTCCAAGAAGCATCGTCAACAGAACCTTCAGTTCAGTCCCCAAGATCACCTCCTGCTGTACCCTCCTCCAAACCAGCTAGTCTACCAGTGCCTTCACATCCACCTCCAGGTGTTCCCAAATCTCCCCGTCCAATACCAGCCTCACGATCAATTTCCCCTGCTGTACACCAACAACCAGCCATACCAGACAAACCCCAGATTCCTGCAGTAAAACCAAGAACAACTCCAGAATCAGAAAAACCAGCAGAAAATTTTGCTGCATCAGAGGATATTAATGAACGTCTACCAGAAAAACCCAAGAGACCGACCATCATAAGACCTAAAAGGACTCAAGAAGAACCTAATAATCCAGAAGGGTCAAGGCAGCCTCCTCCTAGACCAAAACCAATGACTCCAAAGGCAGCAAAGCGATCAACCATCGCTGATATCCCAGTGTCTAAAATCATAGATGAAGTTCCTGAATATGCTGCAGTCATTCGGCCGAAAACCAAATCGTCGTCTGCCTCAGAAGATCCAAGGGAGCAAACTAAAATTGATGAAGATGAAGAGCCCCCTCCAGTGCCTCCAAAGTTGTTCCATCCAGCCACTGGTCCTAAACCAACAGTATTACCAAAACCTCGACAGTCACTGATCAGTCCACAAAATGACATTCCTGGATCAGAATCATCTTCAGTAACGGCTACAGAGGTCAAATCAGATCCACCAAAGACAAGACCTACTATAATTCGACCACCTCCAAAACCTTTAAGACTCCATGAAATTGAAGCTATATCTGGAGAAAATGCAAAAGACGAACTTGTGGAGAAAAAGCCAGATCGACCACGAAGACCAATTAGTAGAGTTCAAGTTCTACCTACTGCACCACAGTCTTCATCTAATTCATCACCTGCTGCAGACAATCCATTTGAAGATGTGAAAGAAGATGGGGATGAGGAAAATAATTCTGAACCTGAAAAAAATGCATCCAGTCGTCCTCCCAGACCAGTTAGCAGAGTTCAAGTCTTACCCACTCCACCAAAATCATCACCTGCTTTTGATGCCACCCCATTTCCAAATGAAGATGACAAAGTAGATGGGAATGAGGAAAGTAACCCTGAATCTGAAAAAAGGAACATCAGTCGTCCTCCAAGACCAGTTAGCAGAGTTCAAGTCCTACCTGTGCCTCGTAAACCACCTAATAAATCACCTCCAAACAATGGTACCAACACATTTCAGGACGACAATGACAGCAATTCAGAATCTCAAAAAAGAGTACCAGTCCTTCCAACACCCCTTGAACTAAAACCTAATCCAGAAGTTGAAGATAACAGTGAAAGTGATACTGATTTTCACAACAGAGTCCAAGTTCTTCCTTCAACTCCAAAACAGGATTCTCATCGGAATGGAGTGTCCTTCAATTCATTTGAAGATGATGATGACAATACTGAAGACTCTTCCAAAATGATTGTGGCTCCCAGCAAGCCTCCACCTCCCAAGATTCAACCCAAAACAGTTGGTATGTCACCAGAAGAGAACAGAGGATCTGAAACTCCCAGTGAAACTAATGATGTAAAGAAAGGAGGGAGAGGACCCTTTAGACCCAAACCTCCTTCCCCGAAATTCAGATCAACTGTAGAGCAAGGTAATTTTAGGTTCCTGTGGTTCAAATCAGATGGAGGTGCAATTTGTCAATAATAGGAGATGACTATTTTCCATTTTAATTATGAATTAATTGGAAGATAAATCATATCTATACGGATATAACTAGGAAAATGCATCAGATATAACTATATTTTAAGATATAATGATAGCTCTGAGGGTTTTTGTAAATGAATTAAATAGTGATTGCTTGTTTTGTCTGTTTGCAGATTCAGTAGAGAAGAAACCAGGTCGACCTGGAGGTCCACCACCTAGACCTGTATCAGCTTCTCCTGTTTTCTCTCCTGCAGCTAAAGACAGGTCAGACTCCTCATTACACTCCAATCAGTCAAAGTAAATGATATTGATAAGTGATATTGTTGGGTTTCTAAAACCCTGTAGTTATACGTTACTTATTTTTTTGTCTTTCTCTTTGGTATGTTATGAATTGCATATAACTGATTGAACTGTCTTCTTTTTCCAGACCGTCAAGGCCCCAGCCTCCCAGACCTGGTCCACCATCTGCCAAGAAACCTGAAAAACCTGCTGGTGAGTAAAATTTATCGACTGTATTTTGTTGATAGTGTCAGAATAATCACTCAGTTAATTTTAGTTAAGTGTGACTTAGACCAGAATATTTCAGACATGGATTAAACAATATTCAATTTTCTATTTCCAGCCCCACCCAGCTTGCCACCTCGCCCTACCCCCAGTCACGAGTTGTATCACTATATATTAACATATCCCCATGGTGTAGCTCAGTATGATTTTGAAGCTAGTCATGATGATGAGATCTCATTTAAGGTAAGTTATATTTATATTGTATTTAGATTTGTTGAAAAAGAACATGGTTTCTTTAAGATGCAATTTTTTAGCTTTATTTTTAGGGGCCTTTATTTTGCATCAATCTGATTTTCTGTAGTTTATTTAATTATTAGAAAATGTCTACATTTATATTTTGATTGATTTATTTCTTTCTTTTTCCCAGGAAGGGGAGGTAATCATATTAACGGGGAGAATGGAGAATGAATGGTTGAAAGGTAAAATAGGTCACAAAGAAGGAATATTTCCCGCCAACTTTATAGAAATTATTCATCCGCTACATTCAGAGGTATGTATTCTTTTCAAAGGGACACGTTTGCCATCTTATGACCAATCATGCCTTGAATTTTAAATTTAACGAAACGCTAAAACTTTTATGTATAATATAGCGAATGTGTAAAATATTTCATAATTTTCAGTATCCATCACCACAAGATTCTCCTGATTCTAAACCAATGAACAGAAAGAAACTGGATTGGGGTGAAGAAACAGACAATGGAAGACCAGATTCCAGTCCGAGTCCAAGTCGTGGATCACGAGGCTCTAGTAGTAGTCATGATTTAACCAGTCCTAACTGGGGTGACGATTCTGACATTAAACCTGATACAGGAAGTGGTCCAAGATGTCGTGCTCGGTTTGATTTCGAAGGTGAAGGTCAGGGTGATCTAGTGTTTGAAGAAGGTGACGTTATTAAGTTATTAAAACATGTGGGAACTGACTGGTTACAGGGTGAACTGGATAATAAAACTGGTATATTCCCACTGAGTTTTGTGGAAATCATCGAAGATGTACCAGTCGAATCTCAACAAGATCCAGATGAACAGAATTTAGCTACTACTGTATTTGATTTTGAAGGTTTAGAAGGCGAACTCTGTTTTCAGGTAACGATTGATATAGTGAAATTATTTATTGTGGACACCAAACAAAAAAAGCATTGGAACATTAAATGGTTTTATTGACAACAGAACATGTAACTGATAGTATCTGTTAAATTTTATCATTTTATTCAGTCGTGATGTTTCTTTTGCCTTTAAGCTCTGTTTGTTGGACATGACCTGGCAGCTCAAGTGTCCGACAGTTTCTGTAAAATGTTGACAAATGAGCACAAAACTTGTGTATTCAGTTTTTGTGTTGGTACATTTTGTAGGCAGGGCAGAAGGTAACTGTACTCAGTGAAGTGAACTCAGAATGGTTATTTGGTGAAGTAGATGGCCGACAAGGGAAATTCCCCCATACCTTTATTGATGTCATACCAGATAACCTGCCTCAGTATAGTTCTCAGTCATCCACAGTGCTACAGGAAGAAACAGCTTCCTCTGAGGAAGATAAGGTAACTTTTACTTTACAATGTCAAGCTTTTATCAGTCTAATGCCTTGACATCATTACACACTTTCTTGTTTGAATGGTAACAAGCTTTTACTGTTTCATCTTTACAATGTCAAGCTTTTATCAGTCTAATGCCTTGACATCATTTGGCACTTTTCTTGTTTGAATAGTAACAAGCTTAAAGTGTTTTAAAGGCATTATTGGATGCTGTAACACAGTCAGTAAGAGTCTTGGAATCCTTACATGACGTCATTTGCTTGCTTTGGTTGAACAAATGGTGGTCATGGGTTCTCATTATGGTAAGCATGTGAAAGTGTGATGAACTTCACCAAGATATCTGTCCTCATTATTCCAGAGCGAAACAATGAGTTAATAAATGTCAGAAATTGCATATATATATATAAGCTTATCTTGTGCCTATTTAGTTTACTTCATATTTTCAGTCACCGACAGTATTATATAGATGTACAGCACTGTATGATTATGACAGTGCCCAAATAGAAGATCTATGTTTTAATGCTGGAGATACTATAGAAGTTTTACAAGATCAAGGAGAATGGTTGAAGGGAAGGCTACACACTCGATTTGGAATCTTCCCTAAATCTTTTGTTGAAATAGATGCTGCTGGTAAGAGAATTTTTAAGCCAATTTTTAAGAGAGTCCACAAAATGCGAATTAACAGTTAGTTTGTCAACTTTGTCTATCAGGGAGTTGACATAGCTTATTATGTTTATTTGGCATTTAGGTTTGTCAACTGGGCATGTCATTTAGAGAGTACGTATGTTTGTCAGGTTGGCATCCCTTTCAGAGAGTTCACATAGCTAATAATGTTTGGTATATTCTATATTTTTGTAGATAATGAAGAGAAGACAGAAGAACAGCTAGCAAAAGCTTTATTTGATTTCAACGGTGAAAATGATAAAGAATTAACTTTTAAGGTGACTGGGATAATATTAAAATGCTTCTTTGGAATTTGGAGGGATGTAGCATAGTTGGTTAGAGTATTGACATCAGTTTCTTGGTTACATTCATCATTATTCCAGATTTTGCAGGAAAAAGCAAAGCATATATGTGACCCCGCATATCAAACCAGGTATTTGGTGTATGTAGAGCTATTAGTATATTTGGATTCCTGACATCATCAGCTACATTTTGATACCAATTCCATCTCAATAGCTTTCTCCGTTCAGAAGATATAGTCAATTTAATATCCAGGTTTGAGTCCCCTTTAATGCTTCACTGTCAGCTTATTACTGGGTAGTGCAACTTAATACCTAATACGATGTGCCATCACCACCTAATGTTAATGTTAATTTGTGTTTTATTTGTAGAAAGATGATATAATAAAGCTAGGAGAACTGGTTGATGGAGCATCTGACTGGCAATGGGGAAATTTACATGGAAATCATGGCATCTTTCCTGTCAATTTTATTACTCTGTTATAGTGGTGGAGGTCAATTCATGATGCCTACATGTGTTTCAGATACAAAATCTTCATCAGGACAGCTAATTTTGAAAATTTTGAAATCATCATTTCGAGTAAATTTTAGCTTTTTGAATAGAGATCATCATATTTCAGATACACACTTCTCATCAGGACAGCTAGTAAAGCTTAATGTTTGCTAATTTACATCTCAAGCTCCAGACATGTTTCAGTTATGTAATCCTCATCAGGACAGTTGGGTTTAGAAATGAGGATTATTTTTATAGTATAGGACTTACTCTGACATCAATGTCAGATACATCACGATGATGGGTGATATTCAAAACTTAACGATTAGAACTCATCTCTTCCTACTGGCAAGAGTTTCAGATACAGAATCCTCAACAGGACAGTTACAATATGAAATAGGGGTTAACAATTAACATAGAAATACTGTCTCTTCAAAACTCCAGAACATTTTCTTACGGCTGGCTAGAAACTTATTTGAAAAGGAATCAGGCCATGTATTCTCGAAATGATCTTAGTGCTAGGATGTCCTAGTCTTTATCTTCTAACATTGATTCTAGGATATCCTAGGTTCTTATCTTCTAACATTGATTCTAGGATATCGTAGGTTTTTATCTTCTAACATTGATTCTAGGATATCCTAGGTTTTTATCTTCTATCATTGATTCTAGGATATCCTAGGTTCTTATCTTCTAACATTGATTCTAGGATATCCTAGGTTTTTATCTTCTATCATTGATTCTAGGACATCCTAGCGCTAAGATCTTTTCGAGAAAACGTGGCCTGATTGATCTGATCCGATTTTTTTTATATACTTAATTTTTGCTAGCACTTTCTTTAATATTTACAACAAATCATTGTTTATAATGTTCGCAATGAATTTAATATTTTGTGCCTTACAACTTTTTTCTACGTGATACTTGATAATAATGGGTGAAAGAATAATATCATTCAAGGGGACGAGGGGGGCTGAAAAATATGAAGGGAGAGGCAAGAGGATAATATGTCTCAAGGTCTATGGGCTGCTTTTAATTAGGAGTATTTTTTTGTTAATTTATTATATAAGCTTGAGGTTATTAATGATTTTTGAACACTATATTTGTCACTTTTTAAAATAATAGAAATATTTCTAGATCAGTCTGTAACTGATATATTGGGGTGTAGAGACTGATTAATAAGTACTATTTTAACAGTGGAATTATGGTTTAGTAGGGCCTACTCAATAAGTACTATTTTAACAGTGGAATTATGGTTTAGTAGGGCCTACTCAATAAGTACTGTTTTAACAGTGGAATTATGGTTTAGTAGGGCCTACTCAATAAGTACTATTTTAACAGTAGAATTATGGTTTAGTAGGGCTTACTCAATAAGTACTATTTTAACAGTGAAATTATGGTTTAGTAGGGCCTACTCAATAAGTACTATTTTAACAGTTGAAAATTGGTTATTGTACTTAATATTGTATTTATCATGTATACAGCAAAACAAATCAATTAAATAGCATTAAGTTTTTTGAATATATGATCAAATTCATACACATAGTTTTCTTCCATTGTAATCTTGTAATCCAAAAAAATAAGACTTATAAAATGTGTTCAAAATCAAAAGATGGGAGCTGGCTTTAAATTTCAGCTGCAGGCATTTCTCTCCACCTCTCTGACCAGACCATGCTTACTTCTCTTTGGAGGTGTCCACTACTATACAACTTTTACTCCCAATTTTGCCATTCTTTGGACAAGATTTTTAATTGACAGAATTGTTTAGCTTGTTCAGAATTTTATTTTACTCCTGAAGCTTATTATTTAATTATTTACAGAAAGAATTTAATGGTTTAAATTTTACAAAATTTTATATTTATATAGTTTTTTATTTACTATTTACATGCTTATCAATGTCTCTGTATTGTTGAGCTAATATACTTCAATAATAAACCAATCCACTTTATTTATAGGTAGAATAATTAGTTATAAACACAAAATAAGATTAGTCTATATAGTTTCTATTACTATTTATTCTACCTCCGCCGTCATGGAGCCTGATTGATGATTATTTCCCAAAAAAATCTTGAATGGTTTAAATTTGATAAAATTTGAAATTTATAATGTTTTTGTTCGCTATGTACATGCTTATCAATTTAGTCCAGAAAAGATATTTATGCAAATCTGGGTTCGATTCAAATTATGACCAGTCCACTTTATTTTAGGTAGTGTAAGTAGTAATGAACACAATATACAAATGCTTGTTTAGTTTCCATTACTATTTATTCTACCTTAGAACAAAGTAGACTGGACCTAAATGTGCATTATTAGCTTTTCTGGACCATATCCCTATAATGCCTCGGTCACATATTCACAGATTTGACGCCATATTAGCCAGGGATACGATCTGGCATCATTCGTTAAAACCTGTATTGGTCCATAGTAAGGTAGCAGCGTGATATATCGTCAAAACTCATAGTCGTATCGGACTAGGGAAATGGTATTTCCAGGGTCATCCGTGAGATTTGATCTATGGTGGAACCGACAAGTTGATCCAGGCATAATATAATACATGTATTATAGCTCATAAAATTCTATCACAAATATTTACCATTATATCACAATCTATCACAAATATTTGCCATTGTACATGCCTTATCACAATTTTATTTTTATTCAATCTGATTAAAATGCAGAACTGATTTGCTTTGTTTTTTCTGTGAGTCATTCCACTTGTCATCCATGATCTGACCAAATTCTTATTCATGTCATGTTCAAGATTGTACAATTTTCAACCAATCAAATGAAAAGTAGAGTGTGATATTGCCATATCTTGTGTCTGTTTGAAAGTACTTCTACAAATATACAAATAAAACCTCGAAATATCTCCTCGAAATATCTCCTCGACCCCCCCCCCCCTCCATTTTTTCAAAAAAAACTCTTCAAGTGTTAAATATCTTTATTTAAGCACTTTAATTCAGAGCAATAAACTATGGCAATTATACAATAAAGATGCTTCTTATTGTAATTAATATATAAGATAAGTGAAACAACTGAATATCTGAAAATTAGTTAAGCTCTATCAGCTGGAAAAGCAAATATTTTGATGACCATATCCCTTTAAATAATCACAACTCCTGTGCCAATCAAAAAAAACTTTACTGGCCGATGTGTGGGCCAATGAAGACGGACAACGCCATGTAGGGTGCAATGAGGGAAATTTTGCCAAGACAGCGGCATTGTTCTTTTTTGATTACCAACTGTCGAGGGATCTTTAACATACACAGCCTGTAATACACAGGGCCTCGGTTTATTGTCCCATCTGAATGATTAGACACTTTTTGCATGTCAGCCCCTCTTACCATCAGAAAGAAGTACAAATTTATTTTTCAAAAACTGGATTTTAACATATGAGTGTCACACAAGAAGTAGCAATGACTTAATTTGGTGGGGGTGGGGTCAATAGCCAGAATGCAAAAACAGCAAAGGGGAGGGTAATAAATTAGGTAGCACTTAATTCAAATAACAAAAAAACAAGCCTTCATAACAAATATATACAAAGCGAGAGAATTCGCAGAAAACTCATGGTTTTTAAACAGGACTGCTGATTGGCTGAATTATCTGTGTTTGACCAATGAAATTTTGGAGAGATTTTTTCAAATTTAAATTCATATTTTCATGCTATTTTCAACATAATCAAAACAAAATGTAGGTCAAAAATGCAAAGTTCATATTCAAATTAACAAATTATTTCCAAACATCTGAATGGTCAATTCATACTCAAATTGAGAAAACCAATAAATTAAGCTAGAATAAATTCCAGTGTATCAAAGCATTCCGAAACCTTTCGAATACATGATAGCTTTAAGTAAGCGTTCCTCTAATTTGTCTTTTGTATTATAGTCTGGCAGGAGTAGTACATTAAAACATGTATGAGATGTCGGCAATCTGAAATATTAAACAAAATGAAATGAAATAGAGTTTTATATCCTACTGTTCTGTATCTTATTGAACTAATGAAATGAAATGTAGTTGTATATCCTACTGTTCTGTATCTTATTGTACCAATGAAATGAAATAGAGTTTTATATCCTACTGTTCTGTATCTTATTGAACTAATGAAATGAAATGTAGTTGTATATCCTACTGTTCTGTATCTTATTGTACCAATGAAATGAAATAGAGTTTTATATCCTACTGTTCTGTATCTTATTGAACTAATGAAATGAAATAGAGTTTTATATCCTACTGTTCTAAATGAAATGAAATGAAATAGAGTTTTATATCCTACTGTTCTGTATCTTATTGTACCAATGAAATGAAATGTAGTTGTATATCCTACTGTTCTGTATCTTATTGGACTAATGAAATGAAATAGGGTTTTATATCCTACTGTTCTGTATCTTATTGGACTAATGAAATGAAATAGAGTTTTATATTCTACTGTTCTGTATCTTATTGGACTAATGATGAAATAGAGTTTTATATCCTACTGTTCTGTATCTTATTGGGCTAATGAAATAAAATGGAGTTTTATATTCTACTGTTCTGTACCTTATTGGACTAATGAAATGAAATAGAGTTTTATATCCTACTGTTCTCTACCTTATTAAGAGGAATTGCTGGAGCCACAAACCTCCATGTGAAATTTGGAATGGTGCAACTTGAATCTTGTGTCCCTGATACACATAAAAGTTTAGAAAACATCTTAACATCCCTTTAACATACCTATCTGAATCAGGGCCATTTTTAGCTATGGTTAATTTAAGTTTTGATAAACCACCAACTGGAACTCTGTCGGTACCAGTTGTAAATTGTAATAATTTTCTCTTTTCACTCTCTGGAAATTCATGGACCACCTCCCAAAAATTCCTGAAAAAATAGACATTGGGTCAACAGTTTTTTCTTAAATCTTACACCCATGATAATGTGGTATCGAAAAAAAAACTGTACCAAACACAGATTCCAAGGGAAACAACCCCCTACCCTCTAGCGCAATTTCATGCCACTTTAATTTCTTTCTAAAACATTACTACGTGGCATTGGAATAGCTCAACAAATTGAATTGTCATCTGCTAAGTGATTGGGTGCTGTAGGTTTGAATGTACCATGGACAGTATCAACCCCTATCAAATATTAAAAATTTGGATTATACCTGATGGTTTTTGATTGAGCTGTAAAACCGTTATCATATTCTGTAGCCTCTTCTAAAGCATGAAAATCTAAAACCTACAATATAAATTCTTCTGTTATAACTTTTATATAATTGGGGAAAGCCATTACACAAAATATGAAGCTATGATCCACGGTTGTGTGGAATAACTCAGTACATAGCAAGTCGGGTAGCAAGTAGAATTGCAGTAGCGCTGTGGGTTTGAATCTTCCTTAAAGGTAAGAAAACTTCTGATGCCACAGCCAGCGCTTCAGAGAGTCGACTCAGTGTTGGCTGTCACCCCAATGACGAATCAACTGAGTAAAATATATTTCAAAGCACATATTTTTCAAATCATTTTCCCATTGTAGGTCCATTCACCTCCTCCTTCCTTCCCCCACCCCCTAAAAAACAAAACAATGCATACCTTACTACCACACACTAATAATTCTATTTCATCAGGTCTGAATAACATTCGTAACGGACTCTCATTAGTCACCATTGTAAACCCTCGCTTAAAGGCTTTAAACTGTCTCTCTACCGACTTGTTTAATATAAAATCTATATATAGGTCTACATACTCCTACAATAAAACATTTAAACTTTGTTAATTCAAAACGCCAATGCGATTTTGAAATAATGGGCTCTTTTAGATCCTTGGTTTCCAATTGTTGTTCTCCTTACAACGCGCCAGGCAGCCCTTCACCCATCATAGGTAAACTTAAAGTAACCAAAAGATGTGAATTGGTCGCTAATATTATTAAACACTTCTGCTACTATCTAAAATAGTCCAAGAGACTTCGCAGACGCCCCTTCTAGACGTACCCTTAGGAACCTTAGACGTACCCTTAGTCGTATTCTCAAAACAATCTAAGAGCTAGGACATCCTAGAACATCCAGGGTTAGAAGTTAAGGCCCAAGAATATCCTAGCGCTAAGATCGTTTCGAGAATACATGGCCAAGGATTTAGTTGACAAGGAAAATAATCCAAATTTGCAATGCCATATCGTACCTGTTTATTTTTGCTGGTAACTGCTATGGTACTGCCATCTGGTTTTAAATCTGTGGTTAAATTATTACCGAATACATCGTGATAACTGACGTGGAAATTTAACATAAAAATATCTTCTAAATCATCGTCAGGGTAGTCTAGTACTTGTTGTAACCCTGAGGCTAGAGACTAAAATAAATAAACAAAATTACAAAACATCATATAGTACTGTAAAATGACAAAATATTTTTACTGTTTAAATACTGCTCAATACATCAATTGTAGAGGAATTTCTACACTATGGAGAATACAGTTTATAGAACCACATTCTATTGGAATGGAAGCAATCGGAAGCCGTATTTTATTCAAAATATACACTTTGTAAGAAAGATAGAAACAAGGAACCTTTCTACCAGCTGGTCCTTGGCATTGATTTTTACCGATTATCTCATTCTTAGATGGGTAGACTGGAATAATGAGGAAAGACTTATTCCAGGTCTTCAGATTTGTACACCAACCGAGATTAGAACCCATGACTACCATTTGTTAGCGTAACCAAGAAGATGATGTCATTTAGGATTACAACACTCTAACCGATTGCATTACAGCCGGTCCTCATTGTATCTTATTGAGCAATCTAAATTGCCACTATTGCTGCTTTCAAATTTTCACTATCAAAATTAAATCATGGTAGTAACTTACAGAGTCAAATTCATAAAGATCATCCATAGTCCCTATTTTACCCATTAGTTTTCTATAAACCACCATTGGGAAGTGAATATCTAATATACAACTATTATAGATAGCTAATCCCAGTAGAATCCCAATTAACGTAAACTGTCCATCATTTTCAAAACTAGTAGGGTTAAACCAGTATAGATTACAATCTTCATTATGGGTAAACATGCCTACAAATACACAGTTAGAATTTATATTATATACTGATCAATTTCAACTATAAACTATTACTATAAATATCATATTGAAACAAAGTAAACAAGAACACATATCAGCCAAATATTCCACAATCATATAGTTATATGATATGTTTGCCTTTTAGAGAGTCCATATAGCTAATAATGTATCTTTGGTATTTAGGTTTGTCAACTCAGCACCCTTTCAAAGATTCCACATAGTTAACAATGCTTTTAGGCTATTTAAATTTGTCAGTTTGGCATCCATTGCATAGAATTGACACAGCCAAAAATGTTTAATTTATATTAAGGTTTGCCAACTCATCTCTTACAAGGAGTCCAGATAGTTAATAGGACTTATGAATATTTGTTACCTATATCTGGATTAAACAATCTCTCCACCACCAGTTGAAAGAATTCTTTTGATACACCCCCCTCATCTAGACCTTGTTCACCGTCAAACTCAACAAATAACTGTTTCTTTAAATCTCCTGGGTTCTGCATGGCAAACATTTCAAGCTAGAATACAAAACCGGAGACCTCTTATAGATGAAAAATTATGAATTTAATATAGTAAACCGGCTATTAGTTAAAATTTTTCCATATCAATAGAAACCCCAAATATACTGTATTGTGTGTATAATGCACACCTTCCAGGGTGAAAGAGGTGCAAAACAAAAGGTTCGTGCATGATTGGACAATGTAACTTACCGAGATCAAGGCATCCTCTACAACATGTGTTCTTCTAACGTTTAATTTGAGGTATGGCATAGGTGGAGCACCATGTATAATAGTCTGTAAAAACGATGTCCTCCGTTCATTTAACATTCTAATTCGATTATCAAAATACATACTCGTATGTTTGGAAGCCGTCGTCAGAATAAAGTTATGCGTCACGAAAGAAAATTTGAGATCAGATTCGGCACGATAATATGCATAATCCGTGCTGATATCGATATGATCGTTTAGTGGATCGTTCACAAATTCATCGAAGGGTATTAAAGGTTTACGACAATCAGACGCTCGTACAGATAGTTCTTTACCAAGAGGATCTTCCTTGACGGTGTAGGGCTCCTTCTCCAATCCTACAGCTCCTTGTAAAAACTCATTACTCTCTTCTCCTTCCAGTGATTCTAATCTTTTCTCTTTTTCAATCTGATCTGGGCTGTCACATTTCCCACCATAGATACTAGCATAGTAGATAATTTTCATAACTTTCGTGGCTCCCACAATTCCATCATCGTCGTTAAGCTGACAGTGCTGCCCCCACTGTCCCTCGCCAGTTATCACTTTAACAATTATCAACTGTTGTAAGGCTTGTAACATTTCACTTAATCTGTCCACAGGATATTGAGACAAAACCTTAGCCAGTAACGTCTGGCCATGGATTGACAAATGACCTAAAGCTCGACAAAACACGGGAAAGGCGTTCTCGATAAATTCTGGACTGTGTAATAAAGGAATCTCAAACACTATCAAAAAAACGTTAATATAGTTCGGGTCACGTTTTAAAGCATTATGATATTTGATGTCCATTTCTACCGCTTTTGATAAAGAGCGTAGGGCGTTAATTAAGGCAGATTGGAAAGGATGACCAGGAATGTCCATCAAACGTGAGAAAGTTCTTCTTAACGCATCAATATCTAGAGTCACAGAGTCCAAAATATTACTTGGCTTTTTATTTTTCACAGACAGATCACGTCCACTTTCCGATTTCAAACAATCCATTGACGATTTCTCTGAAATATCCGAACACCTCGTTTTGGACTCGGAAGGGGACACAACTGGACTCTTCTTTTTATAAATGGCATCTTTACGGAAACTCAAGATTAATGAATCGGGACTGTTAAACACTGAACCAATCGTATGAATTAATTTCGACCAATCATCTTGAGCCTTACAATCATCTATAATACTATATACTTTTTCTTCTGTTAGGTACGTTACTTTTGACACTAAAATAGATAAAATATATATGAATTGAGATAGATATGGCATTCTAGAGTTAAATTGTTTAGAGTTTAGAGTAAATTAAGAGTTATTCTTCTTTCCATTTACTGCGATCCAATATTTTACCTCAGCTTTTTCTTTTTAATTTGAGAGGGTGTTAAAATGTGAGTAGGTTAAGCCACCCCATGGAACGTCAAATTCACTGAATGAAAAATGTCCACATACCTGATGGTATAAAGGCAGATACAATATTAGTGACATAATTCTCAGCATCTAATGTACTGGAAGTAGAAGGTCTTTCTCCTTTAATAGATGTTTCTTCAAAATCGTCAGAATCTTGAGAGGGTCTTCGTACTTTATTAGAGTGATCATCACATAGTTTCACCTGAAAAATAAGGGACAGATTTCTAGTCAAAGCTGGATATATTTCAGTCATCTATTTCACACCTAAACTTCTATTGGACTCTTCCACACATGCATACCTTCTATCAAAGAGAAACTGTATGTATACATGGAAGTGTTGGGTTTTTTATTTTTGTTGCCTGCAGAACTAATAAGTCATCATTATCATTCCAACAAAAATAGCTGTAAATGAGTGTGGAAAATGTAGAAAAGATCAATGGCAAGACTCGATTCTTGAGAATCTAAGCTGTTATCCTTGTCTTTTCAATTTCTAATAAAACAAAAACTGACCTTTGATCTAAAGAGATCTATAGCTCGTAAGGCGAGGGAATTTCTATCAGCATGACGGAAACAGAATTCAGGACAGGATGAACAGTAGGCATTACGACAATTCGGATCGCCACAGCCATTTGTTAGCTGGTAGTAATATCTCTCAATTAGCTGTTTAGCTGCTGCCCTCTTCCTGTAAAAACACAATGGAGAAATGTTAAATTTGACCACTAAGTAGGTCTATAAGCTGCCCAGATGAGGATTAATAACATTTAAATATTTTTTCCCCTTTTACAAAGATATGTCATACTCTAGCTTTAACCCTTTGAACCCTGAGTGTAAATGAAATATAACGTCATATACCCTGAACTCCAAGTAATAAAAGTAAAAGCGTATGACGTTAACGTTGTATGACATCACTTAGTAACGGCTAGTAAACAGGCTGCTCAGGTATATATTGCGTTCGTGTGTGGCCAGTAACAGGCCGCTAGGGTTGAAAGGGTTAACAACAGAAGACAAAGTAATTCAAAATTTCTGGAAGAATGTCCATATGGGTATTATTAACAGTTATGAAGACACTGCTAAACTGAATTTAGAATGATTTCCGACTTGAGCAGATGACATTGACAGATTATATTTAGATTAGTTTAACAATGTCTTACTTACATGCCTTCTCCTTCGTTGACAGGACTGACTTCAGTTTCACTTGGGGCAGGATCTCTGAAAATAAAATACCCAAACATAACGCTGATTTCAAAAACTATTCTCCTATTACACTTATTTCACTTGCAGTTCATCAATCCTTTATATTTTGGCTCAAATTGTCAAAATATTCTGTTGACTTAAAGTCAGTCAACTGTCAAAAACAAACACTCAACAATCACTCAAAAACGTCTCAGTCTCAGGAGGCAGCCAATCCTTTTTTAAATCTATTTTTTATTTTTTTAGTAATACACCAAGCTTGCATCAGTTGACACAATGACATAATAACAGATGTAAGGTTTCTAGAACTTTCTAACTAAATACGCAATGACAACATTCTTGCCAAGAATGACTCAATTTGGTTTGGGATTTTGAACTTGTCAGAAGACATACAAACAGAAATGGCTACCTCGCGGCTCGATCTCCGCCTTCAGCTGAGTTGTTTTCTTTTGAATTCATACGAAATACTGTGGCCACTTGATTTGTTATCTTCTCAACGCCTCCTGGGTGGCTTCAAATCAACTATCATCGAAACAAAACGGATCTAAGTTATTTCTCAACACAACTCCGCCATGTTCTGGTTGTCTACAAATACAAATTGTGGATTCGTTTATCAAATAAAACGAAATAAATTTTGGACTCATATTCATCATTTGAAGACTAAATATGTTATGCGTTATTTTTTTATGTTGGGGGTACCAGTTTGCGGAGAAAAAGTAAGACTTAGACTAGATATTGTTCACTTCGAGTATCATCAAAGTTCAAGGGCAAGGGAGATAAATTGCATAAACAATTTTAGTGGTCTGAGTCCAACAGTCAATGGAGATAATTTTTCCAATGAATAAATATTTCAACTTCATTGGAAATGGAAGCAATATTATTAATATAATTAAAATACAGATTTTAAGCAAACGTTTTACCGTGAAAGTTGTGCTAACGCTCTGCAAAGATTCAGCATTACGGAAACAGCCGAGGATTGTCGAATGACAAGCGCAATGCACGTGCATCACAAACATAGTGTTGACAAGCCTGTGGTACAAAACCCAACCAAAACTGATTTAGTTATGTTTAATTGTCAGGGCGCGAAACAACAATACATAAGTATTGGCAACCACCCTCTTCTCGTATCATAGCCTACAAAGTTATTTGGATAATGTTAACCACAGTTCATATAGGCCTATGTATTGACATGCCAGCCGTTAGCCTAACCACATGAATCTGCCATTTCTGGTAGGGTAGGAGACATGGTTTTGTGCGCATCCCATTATTTCTACCCCAAATATCGTCGTTCTTGGTCAAATCAAGCTTGTGGCTTGATTAATAATTGGTGTTTCTTTTAATTAATTCATGTATATACATAATCTTAGGTTTGAAGACACGCTTCATATAGTGTTCTGGTGAAAACAAAATTTTCTTAGGGGGATCTGCCCCCCTCCCCCCTGACACCCCTCTAGCTATGGGCCCGCGTATATCACGTTCGAGGAACGTGTAAGCAAGATTTATCGCGCTATGGGAAACCTAGAAATATGAGACTTTGTCCTGACATTTAGGAAACTTATAGGAGTACCAGGGTTAGTTCTTTCTATCGTAAAGGACCTAATGGACGATACAAAACAACAAGATAATATAGATTATAAAGTTTAATACTGGACGGAAATTATTAATGATATATTAATGAAAGATTCAATGATGTTGATTCGTCAGACTTTTTTCGCCAGTAAATTCACAACCCTCAGCCCACTCTTTGCCTGGAAAATACAAACAATAGGAATTATAAATCATCTTCTTATTCATAAATATTCCTAAGGATGACAACATAGGTTCTCGAAGATCCTGCCTAACAGCTGGTCCTTGATCAAACCATAGGATTTCGAGTCGAGGATCCTATCCTGCAGCTTGCCCTTGGTTAAACCTCTTTTAAGGATGAAAACATACGACTAGGAAACCAAAATGGTGTAAATAGAAGCTATAAGTGTTTCTGATACACATACAAAGACTAGAACTTCAGAATGGTGCAAATAGAAGCTTAAGTGTTCCTGATACACAAACGAAAGCTAGTTTAAGTGTCCTTAAACACTCATTAGAAGACCAATTAAATGGTGAAATTTTGAGACCAACCTGTTCACAAATAGCTTTATTATCACTGAACTCGTCGAGTATTTTCTGGAAGTATTTCTTAGCTAGAGGTAGATCTTCGACTCGAGCAGCTATTTCTCCTGTGATTAAAATAACATCCGGTTTGTCAGGGCATTTGGTAGCCAGTTTAATGGCGTACGGTAATGCTTCACTGTATTTTTCTTGTTCGTGTAAAACTTGCGTCAACTGCGTTAAAAAGGTCTGAAATATATAAAGTTAAAACATTTAAAGCTATGCCTAATAATTGCAAATAACTGCTCCTGCTCCTTGTTTTGTCAACACCCCCCCCCCCCCCAAACCCGCAAAAATCGCGTGCTTTTACCACTTGATGCCCTTAATTCAATTAGTCGAGGAGGCATGCGTTTCTGATTTGCTTTGTATTACAACTGATGAAAGTAAATTCCACCAGGAGCCAAATTTAAGGCACCTAAATAACTTCCAGACTACTGAAGCAAGGGGGTTACATTCCATCAACATCGAAAGTACCTATTCGAAAGTTCTACGGTCGGCATTATGGGATTTTTTAGACAAATGATAAATCTTTTTCTTCAGCGATTTCTCCCAGCATTTGTCTTTGACATTCAACTTTGATTTTGGTGAAGGTTTATTTTATATTATCCCGTTATTAACTTCCCAGGATATTACTCTTTAACCTTACCGTGTTTTCAGGGAATTTTTCCGAAGCATGTTTACAAATTGTAAACACACCATCCGATTTGCCTTGCTTCTGGCACCAAACCATCGTCGTTTCGTATAACCCTTCTTTTAGATTACTGTTATCATAAACTTGGTCCAATCTTTTTATCAATTCTGAATATTTTTCATTGGGTATTAAATCCGTCTCGGTCGAGTATCTGAACAACGGAAAACTACCCGGGAATCTGCAAGTAAACAAGAGAATAGTGATCGTCCAGGATAGAGCTGACTCCGTAAATAAAGAAACCAACATAAGTCTATTATAATGGTCCTATTCTTGTCTTTGTGGTCATCTTGGATAATCGAGGATGGCTGCTTGACTCATTTTATGCAATGGCGTTCCATGAAACATTACGCGATGGGTCGAGTAACATTGCGAGTAACGAGAAACTAATTCCTTACTAGAATTTAAAAAAAAATTGAAATGAGGGTAGCACAAAGTCTTCTCCCCACCACTTGCTTCTCCGTCCCCTACCCTGTACTTCACTGATCCCATACCCCTCTTTGCCATACTTCTCCGCCCCATCTCGTAAAAACGCCACTGATCCCGTGTAACTTCACAAAGTGCTACGCCCCGAAGTATAGCAAAACAATAACTTACAGTTTAAAGCCCTCGTCGATCGAGAACTTGTGTAGAGTTTTATCATCAACTTCAACATGTTTACTGATCATATTGAGATGTTTAAAATTACTGTCTTGTTTTTGGTTGGAGTTGAGGATTAACATAGTAACGTCCAAAGCTTTCTGGTAATTTTCAGATTGAATCAATTCCTCCACTATTAATGTATATAAAGGAACGAAGCAATCGTCTACACATTTCTTCTTGACCAGTGTTTTGTCTGAAATATTAGATCGTTGATTCGATTCTACTCGTGATCATATGCACAATGTCTTATACCTTGACTGCAATAGCCACCTTTCTTGTATCATGGAATATCAATATATTTAGCCAATTATGGCCATAGATAGAGAGACTGCTATTATTCGGTAGCGTACAATCCAATTAAATCACCCCATTTACAAACATCCGTAATACAAGAACGTTGGCTATGTCAGTCAAGGTATAAGACGCAGTTTGAAATAGCTTGACATTGTGAAGATGGCTCGTGCTCAGATACCGCACTAGGGAAGCAATGAAATCAATGGATGATCATTGATTATATTTAACAAAATCTTATCTCATGTTACCGACAAGAGTTTCGCAGATTATACATTAAAAAATAATGTCTATAAACTCACGTAAAGAGTCGAAGAGTTGAAAGGCTTCTTGTTTTTTATTTTGTTTAAGTTGTGAAAGACATAACTTTTCTTTTGTTTTAAAACTAGTTGTACTCTTTTTTCCTTCTTCACATTTCTAAAAAAAAAAAATCATAAAACACAACGTTTCGACTTTGAGTTGCTTTTCATTTTACGAAACCCCTACATTATATCTTCAACACACCCGAAACCAATAATTGATTTCTGCCGTGCTTCAGGTAGGTGAATCTGTATTAGGGACTGAGGTGATAGATTTATGTTGAAATTGAGTTGTCGGATTGTTTCGAAGTTCTTTCTGAATTCCTTTTGGGGTAAATTCGAAATACATGTTTTCTTTCTTCGGATTAATTGCTCCAGAATATGTAAAATTTTTGACAGTATGAAATAAATATCACGACGACCATACCTGTAAGATTTCAAGAGTTTCCATGAAAAGTCTTTCAGCATCTTTGAAATTGCCAGAATTAAGACATAAAGTACCATGATTTAAAATGGTATGAGCTACATTGGGATGGTAGTAACCTAGAGCCCTTTCTGCTATCGCTCGTGATCTGAAATAAGAATAACATTTTGGTATTTTAACAGAATCTAATTTCTGATGTTGCTTAAATATTACTTCACGTTAATGATGTCTTATGTTTCGATAAACGACCTAGCTCTAGGATTAGATCCAGAGTTAGGTGATGTCTAGTGTTTTACACCAGTGAACCACTCTCTAGAATGTATCCTAGAAGAAGGTGATGTCTGTTGTTTCTGTAAACAGACAATAGTACAACAGTGAACCACTCTCTAGAACGTAACCTAGAAGTAGGTGATGTCTGGTGTTTCTATAAACAGACAATAGTACAACAGTGAACCACTCTCTAGAACGTAACCTAGAAGAAGGTGATGTCTGTTGTTTCTGTAAACAGACAATAGTACAACAGTGAACCACTCTCTAGAACGTAACCTAGAAGAAGGTGATGTCTGTTGTTTCTGTAAACAGACAATAGTACAACAGTGAACCACTCTCTAGAATGTAACCTAGAAGAAGGTGATGTCTGTTGTTTCTGTAAACAGACAATAGTACAACAGTGGACCACTCTCTAGAATATAACCCATGGTAATGTGATTTCAGATGACTCTAAACTTACTTTATATACATCTTCTCTGATTCCTCCTGTCGACCTAGGTTTCTATAACAAACAGCTATATTACCAGTCATTACTCCGATAGCTGGGGGGAGGTGGCCAAAATACTCTTCTTCATAGATCTGAAACGAGACGAATTGATTATCAGGAAATGGCGTTTCTACGAAAGGCGCGGATTGGTTTAAGGGAGTCCATATTCCTCGCCCTTAGAACTAAAGAACCAAAGGAACGCCTCTGATCAGGAATTTCTAATTGGATGGTTGATGTAAAAATTGACATGACCCTGGGCTAGCTACGGGCCTGCCTTGCAGTCTCATTCAATAAATATAAAAATCAACAGACATGTAACAGAGGGGGTACCATAAGCGAAAGTTTTTGTAAATGAATACTGCGCATACCTGTAAAGATTGTAAACAATATTTCAAAGCTTGTTCAAACGATTGTCTATCCATCAGGATGACGCCGATATTGTGAAGACTATCAGCAACTTCCAGGCGGTTTCCACTCTGCTGGTGGATGTTTAAAGCTTTGTTGAAGTTCTGTAATGCCTGAAATACATGATGATAAACGTTTAAAATAGGAAATGAATGGAGTTTTACGCCCTACTTTAAACCAAATGGACGACGGGCAACGCCATGCAGTGTGTAATGAGGGAAATTTTGCCAGGAAGCAGCATTAGCCTACTGTTTTGTATCTCGTTAATGAAACCTTACTTTTGTCTTCGGAGGCGAGGCTCTTTACTTTGACGTTTTAACACTGGTTTATCACGTGATTATATTTCTATTTATAGATTTATGGAGTACTATACATACATTTTAATGTTTTTTGGAATCTTAAATCATTAAAGCAACCATACCTCCTGTTTCTGTCCTAGTTTAGTATTGAGTAGAGCTAAGCTATGATACGCTGTTCCTAGAGACTTTAAATCTTCAACTTTAACCCCTTTAACTTGCTCATCAACGATCCTGAAACAAAATTAACAATATTCTAAAGATGTGTCACAGTGGTGAATCCCTTTATTTTTGGTAGACATTTGAGCTGATAATGTCTTGCTGTCCAAAAATGCTGTCTTAGTTACCCAAATAAAGCACAAGAATTTTATACATCTCAATCAGACGAGTTATGCCCCTTAGGATCATGATTTATTCGTGTAGGTTGGTGTATTAACACCGGGACATCATTGCGCAGGTGGCACTCTTGTGGGTTCTTTGACCAACAAACCAAAGTTTTTATATGTGTCTTTTTAATATGCTCTACCATATAATTGTTTTCAATGACTTTACCAGTTCCAACCGATTTTGATTTTGATTCAGATAATTTAATGGAGCTATTCCTACCTCTTTCTTTCCTCCAGGACGTCTGTTTGAAGAACCTGGGCTTCCTCCAACCTACCAGTATTAATATACAGAATGGCCAGTTTCTGTTTCACATCGTCCATCATCTTCGTCTTTCTTTCAGTATCAATATCAAGATCTTTCATTTTCTACGAAACACAAAAATAGCGGATAATGCACATTGTTCTGTTTGACGATTCAACTTAGTAGTGTGGTTATATTCAGAATTTTGGTAGGCTAGAACTCAACATTTTTGTTATCGGCTTAAATTGTTGTTGAAAGGAGGTTGTTTATACAGAAATAAATTATTAGGGTTGAGACTTAGTCATGATAAGCGACAGGTACAAAGAATATCTAAGATCTTACTAGAAACTGAAGACGTTTATCTAAAATAGTTTGGAGTCCAGTGTTGAAATGACCAACTTCCATAACATAGGTCAGTGCATCTAGATAGGACAGGATCTGGAATAAAAACAAGGTGATTAGGAAAAAGGGATACAAAGAGTTCCAGTGGGTGATCTGTCACAGCTTAAATTAACCATTGCTAAAATGGCCCTGATTCAGATATTTATGTTAGAGGGATCGTAAAGAGGTTTTCTAAATGTTTTATGTGTATCCGGTATGATCAGTTTGCACCGTTTCAATTTTCAGTCAGACGTCCGTGGTTCGTGTAATTCCACTTTTATAACATAGCTAACGCCGAGGGGTTTAGTTGTTGTTAGTTTTGCTATCACTGTCCCTGATACACAAAAAAAAAAGTTTAGAAAACCTCTTTACAATCCCTTTAAAGTTATCATAAATTGTCCATACATGAAGTATTTAATTAAACTTACCCCTAATTCTGGTGGTGAGGTCAAATTTTTCTGTTTCTTTAGTTCTGAATATTTCTGTTCTGTAGCCTTGATATATAACTGAGATATTTCGTCGCCATGGTAACCAATCCATTTCCAATATTCCAATAAATCGTACTCTCTTTCTCTGTTTAAAATATTGATCAATATTGTCAATCAAAAACAAAATCAATTGACGGAAAAGTATCACGATATTTTACAGATAACATCACACATAGACATCTTTTACGAAGCATATAACATTCAGTCAATTGGGACAAACAAAATTCGAATTGGGGCTCTAAGGTTTAGTATTCATATTACGCTATTCATATTGACCGATCACTTTATACAAGTTTGACTGTACTTACAAAAATAATCGACCAAAAGTAACCATATTAGTCAGCGTTTTCACCAAACCCTTTTTATCATTAGCTAATTTATATAACTCTGGTAGTTCGTCTGCTGGTCTTTTAGTCAGAGGATCTATCACATTCATAGTTAGCGTATATTGCTGAAAATAGAAATAGCCTAGTTTATCCGCACGATTCCTTTCCCAATAAGATAGTGCAAATATAAATTTTTATATAGCACATGTATGTTCTCCCCTAAAGGCCTCGTGTAATGCCAAAAAACTCGCAGGGGCCCGGGAAGCTGACGCTGCCACTGCTTGTTTCTGGATTCATGTTTTTTCTCATAGGGCAAAAGGCCCCATTCAAAAATGGAACTGAAATATACTTTGATTTCGGTATATCCAACAAGTCTATAGTTTGAGGTACTGATTACTTGATCATCTAATATTGTTAGAATTTCTGTATTAAAGTTAGATACTCACCCCTACTAAACCTTCAAAATATTTGATTAATTTCTGTAAATACATATTTCTGAAAGTAAAATTATTCACTGCAGTATCGACAAAAGATAAGAGAAATATTAGAACAAAACATTCACTCAAACATGCTTTGAATACTATCGTATCTTAGTCTCGGAAAATTTGACATTATATTCAATACCCAATGCAAGGCAATGTTCTCAAAAATCTGGAAGTGTCTTTATGCATTGATAAAAAAAACTAGCCTTATTTGGGTAATTTTTTAAGTAAAAATTACATTGCAAAGGTTTATTGCTAAAACGTAATTGAATTCGTTATGGGGGAAATTTCAATGTATGTATATATAATATTTACCTTGTTTTGGGATCTTTCAGATATCGATCAGTTACAGCTTCTAATAATTCCGACACTTCTAATCTACAAAATGATAAATGAAGATTATTTGGACGTAGAATAATGATACAATGGACGGACAAACTACTGCTGTACTATCAATGTAGGCTTGCTGTGCTGTCATGCCATTTTGACAGGTATATGTATATGAATGGGGCAGGGTTTTTCACCTTCACACAATTTCACGATACTTTGTAACAGCTTTATTCCACCGACCTTACCTAGCCCCAATTTTCTTACTAGCCTATAGTTAATGGACCTACCTCAACAGTCCGCCATTTTCCACCAAGAATTTATTGAGAGAGAAATACAGTGGTGACCAGACGTGAGACGTTATATTCAAGATGGCGATCAATTCTGTTTCTGATAAACCTTGATTACTCAGACAAATACAACACAAAACCTACAAATAAAATACAAAGTACATATTACCTACAAATATAATACAAAACCTACAAATATAATACAAAATTAATACAAATATAATACAAAAAAGCTACAGATATATAACACAAAACCCATGAATATAAAGTAAAACCTAAGAGTATAATACAAAACCTACAAATATATCACACAAAACCGAAGAATATACAACACAAAATCTACAAATATGACACAAAACCTAAAACATCATCATGTTTGCTCTGAAACATTTCTAACCAAAACTTTATAGTTTTCTCCAATGCTTACCTTTTCTACTAAATTACCATGTTTTTTATTTCCACCAAATTCTTCTTCCAATCTGATCAATAATTGCTGGAACAATTCTTTGGCACTGAAAAAACCCCGAGAGTTTTGAAAATAAAAAAAGTACTCCAAGCCCTCTCTATAAAGTATTAAGTTATTTTGTAACCTATTTGTTTACGTTTTGATTAAAAGTATCATTGCTTGATAAAAAAAAAACCCAGCGTATCATTATCGAAACGTTGTTATCTATTTATTAAAGTAATTGTTATCCATATACACGTAATTGAGCCCTGTCATTTATTCCACAAGATCTGGAATAATGATGACGCTCATCTATAATACCAACCTTTTAGCTTTTATAAGAGAATCAATCTTTGCATCCAGTTTTCTAAATTCACCGAACATTCGAAGTTCAGTGAGAAGCGTTCGTAGAAATATCGGAATTTGGGTCTGCGGACAGGAAACTATCTTTTCTAGTTGACTGTCTTTTAACTCTTTTCCATGTTTCTTCAATGTTTGCTAAAATCATAAAATTTCATATTTAAGAGTATATCAAAAAAAATATTGCCAGAGAAAAATAGCCAAGGACCACGCAGTTATCTTCACTTTGCTCTGTTTAATGTCTAATTTTTCTCCAATTGATTAATCATAAGCAATGTCATCTATATGACACCCCTTAACCTTGTATTGGACTCGTTTTCACATGCATACTTTCTATCAATATGAATCTGTATATGAATGATTGGATGAGTTCATTACTAAAAAAGGGGAGTTTTCGTTGTTTTTGCCAGACAATTGATAACGAATCAGATCGAACTACTAGGAAACAGCCATCCTTACCACACAGATCTCTTGCCTGTGTTTTTTGTCCAAAGGTTTCAATTCCAAAACGTCATATTGTCGAACGTCTCTCAGTTCATGGATGACGTCATCAGATTCTGTGGTACACGACACAATAACTGTGGTGTTGCTAGGGAAGACATGTGGTAACCAATATAAGCACTGAAAGGATAGAGAAATGGAACGATTTGTTAAAACTAAAAAACTTTAGCATACGTGTTTAACGTTTTTAAAGGGACAGATTCGCCTTCGCCAAACGGGAAGCTAATCAGTAATAGGCCTAGTGTTCATAGCTTACAGTCGAGCCTTTAAATCCATGCGAATTATGTTGGCTTACGTTTAAAAGTTAAAAATAAGACTTGAACAAGAGACTTGAGACTCTGCCATATGCTATATAGAAAAGACATCTATAGAAACAGGAAACGAAAGTCCTAAATTGAGATATTTTTGAAGGAATTGGTAAGACTGAAGACTATTTGAATATATTCAAGACCCAAATTAACCCCTGAAAATGATGAATCTGTCTCTTCAATATACCGAAATATTCGTCACCTCCATAAATTTTCAAAAGCTGCACCTGTTTAATTTTAGAATCTCAAAGAATCACAAAGTTACCTTAGCTGTTTTTGACGAAAGTTCAACATGATCTAAACCATCCAGGACTAAGACAATTCGCTTCTTGGAACTCAGTTCTTCTATTTTAGCTGAACATTTTCTCACCACGTCCTTGATATCGTCTGATTCCTTTTTATGATTGAGTAGGTCCTGGAGTGATCTAACATTCTCTGTTTTACTCGGATCTAGAGCGTGTACTAGTTCTAAATACAGCCTATTCAGCAAGGCGGAAACAGCTGCAATATGAACGTCAGTTTCGTTAGAAATGAAATGAAATGAAGTTTTACGCCCTCCGTATCTGCAATTGAGCTCATGAAGATGGGCAGCTCAGTGCAGTGTGTAATGAGAAAGTTTTTTATTAAAGGGGCATTTAATCTTTTTCGATTTTTAAACTGTCTAGGGTTCTTAAACGGTCATGTTCCTCTAGCAATGGTACGGGGATTATTCAAATCTAGCTGTTGCTTGCACAATCCCATATTCTCGTCAAAGAGGCTAATAACCACCCTTTGCAGACCATACGTCACCATTCAATTTATCCATTATAGAGTCTCGTAATGAGGATTTTCATCGTTTCGTTGCTAAAGGAATATGGGCATCGGTTTATCGTTTGATCAACGAGGTAGAGGTCCGGTACGGAGCTTGTTTCTTCTACTGAATCTATAATCCCAAACTATAATTATGCTGATACTTACTGCTACCGTCCTCCCCACAGCCAATAAAATGGTAAATATAAGCAACTTTCTTTGTATTAGATGATTTCAGTTGAGATAACCAATAACATAACAGAGATGATTTGCCACTTCCACTGGGACCAGTTATTAATAGTGGACTGTGGCTTCCTGAAATCAGACGAAAATGGAAACACTAAAAAGGGTCGAGAAAAGGGTCCACAACATTCGAGTAAAACGTCATCAACAGTCGAGTAAAACGTCATCAACAGTTTAGCAAAACGTCATTAACAGTTGAGTCAAACATCATCGAAAGTCGACTTAAAAATCATGACGTTTTGCGCCATTATTGATGACGTTCTTCTCTACTATGGATGGCGTTTTACTCATTCCTTACGATGACGTTTCACTCGATGTCATCCACAGATCAGTAAAAAACCAGAAAGATGCATAATCTTACCAGTCAATCTGTGTTCAAGACTCTGAACTATTCGACCATCGCTGATGTAGGAGGAGCTATGATGAGCTATAAAAGCATCGTGTTGCTCTAGTTTCTGCTCTCGAGCTGATAATTTCTCTGTTTGTACCAAGAGTTCTGTTTCTAGATATTTCTTTACTACTTCAAATATCTTTTCTATACCCTAGAAGAGAAAGTGACCGGCTTCATAATCTGTATACTCTGTATATCGATATGTTTAGTCATGCTTTGAAATATTATAATCAGTATCCAAACACTAGCGCTCTGTAACAGCTTTACGGAAACTGCTGGAGATTGCCGAATGCTCTGTACCTCGCTAGCTGCACTTTTAAAATGTTGTTTTTTTTTTTTTTAAAAAAAGGCCTTACCTCGGCTGGAGTTTTGTAATCATCAAAAACAGCAAGACACTGAAAAATATATCAAAACATATTTAGATTTTTATCGCTGCCATCAACAAAAATAATCCTGAAACAGAGCAAGGTCTGGACGTACTGCCCCTGCGCTACCAACAGATGAACAACGCCACATCACCCCCCACGATTAAAAAAAAACCCATGAAACTGACCTTGTCTTTACTTCCAATAACTTTGGTTTTTATTTTTTCTAAATCTGCAGCAGCTTCGGGACTCTCGCTGATATAATTTGTAGCAACTTTGCTTTCTTTGGCTTTAATTAATGCTTTCTTTTGAATATCGTCATAACTCTGAATTAAAAAATGATGTCGAATGTATAGGTAAGTAGATTTCAGAACACTATAAAGTTGATAAGTCACAATTTGTAATCAGGTGTATCTTAAGGGTAAGCATGTCGTGACCTCCCAGCAACTCCTGCCACAGCCATGCTGGTCTTAAGAGCTAAAAGGGATTATAAAGAGGTTTTTCTAAACTTTTTATGTTTATCGGGGACAGTGATAACATTGACATGCTCTATTTCTAATTAAAGCCAGACGTCTGTGGCGTAGCCATCGACAAGGTCTTTGGGTATGATTAGCAGATTTTAGATTTATCTAAAACTACATAAACATCAAACGTCTGAAAATTGGAGTGGTGCCGCAACCTTTTTACAACCCATTCAAAAAGTATGGCATAGTTACCTTATCTCTAAAAGCGAAACAAGCAGGAAGGTCTCCTGGTTTGTTCAGATGACCATGGAGATATTCTATAGCTGTAACACTGGCATTACGATGATGTTTTATCCAGGGATATCTGTCACTAGCATTGTTAATATTCCTCTGTAGATCCTTATCATTCTCTCCGTGCCAACCATATCTCTACAATATCATTATAATCTCTGTATAGAATCCTGAACAGAAGACCTGTCCGAACATCAACAAAAACAAGTCCAAAACGGGCCGATATAACCAACCAGATAGACAGGAAATGAATTTAATAATCACCCTGGATCATTCAAGATGACAAAACCAATGAGGTAGACAGGAAAATAGTCCAATAGTTATCCCGAATCATTCAAGATGACAAATGCAACGAGGTAGACATGAAATTAGTCCAATAGCTATCTTGGGTGATTCAAGATGACAAATGCAATGAGCTAGAAATTGAAAGAATCCAAAATCCAATATCCACCCTGGATCAACGGATCTCATTGGCCATACTGGGTCATTCAAGATGTCCAATTGAAGTAAATTACAGGAAAAGATAACAAGTTTTACCTGGGCATAAATTCCAATAAATATATCAGTTCTATCAATTTCTCGAAGACAGATGTTAACAGTCTGAGCTTTTTCTGTTGATTCTTCAGTTATACCCCACCTCATATCTACTATTACCAGACCCACACCATGAGACCGGCACAGATAATCTAACTGTGGAACATATTTACTCATCCATTCCTTCCGCTCTGGTTCCATTCCACGAAACGGTGATGATAAAAATATCCGACATGTTTTAGGATCTTTAAGTTGGTATTTTGTCATTTCTGAAATGATATTTCAAAGGGATATATTAGTCTAGAAATTAACTGGTGGTTGAAATAAAAGTTTATCAGGTGTTGAATTAAATATTTAGACGAATATACAGATAGCTGACATTGAGCTCTATCAACTTGTAAAGTAAATATTAAGACATCTATACAGAGAGCTGAAATACAGCTCTATAAAGTATATATTTAGATGATTATACAGATAGCTGAAATTGAGCTCTATCAGCTGGTAAAGTAAATATTTAGATGACTATACAGAAAGCTGAAATCTAGCTCTATCATCTGGTAAAGTAAATATTTAGACATCTATACAGATAGCTGAAATCTAGCTCTATCAGCTGGTAAAGTAAATATTTAGACATCTATACAGAGAGCTGAAATTTAGCTCTATCAGCTGGTAAAGTAAATATTAAGATGACTATACAGATAGCTGAAATTGAGCTCTATCAACTGGTAAAGTAAATATTTAGATGACTATACAGATAGCTGAAATTGAGCTCTATCAGCTGGTAAAGTAAATATTTAGATGACTATACAGATAGCTGAAATTGAGCTCTCCGAGCTGCAAACCGAATTTTTCACTTGCTGATTACTTTAATTTTTATTTTTTCATTCTCTGTATCCTTTTTCAGTATAAATCTTAATACAAAGTGTCACGTCGATTTCTGAATATTGTGGCTTCTTATTGACAAAAGCATATCTGTGGCTATTAATTGATAAGCCTTTCGGTTATAAAATCATCATCAGGACATCTAGTCTGAAAATTGAGTTACTATGGAATTTAATCTTTATACAATCAAATAAAGCGAATTAGCTGATTGAAAGGAACGCCAATCTAATTTGTCATATTATTGTTTGTAACACCAATTACTTGCTGTCGTTAGGATTCAGATTACCTGCGCTCATTTTTTTTTTTTATTTTCCTTTTTAATTTTTTTATTTATTTTTTTTTTATTAATCTAATTCTAACTTCTTGAAGATTTGACTATGCAAAGATATCCCCCTCCCCCCCCCCCCCCCCCGACACATAAATATAGTTTCCAATGAATATTAAAGGCAAATTATTTCAAATGAATAATCACTTTTTGATTTGCTGTCGTTAGGTTTTAGGGTTTTCAGTGTTTTAATAAAACAAGACCGTAGAACAATCCCAGATTATTTAGATATTTTTAAAAATAAATAATGAAAATTGACAAAAAAAACCTTTTCAAGTTTAGTTGTTCATTTGCCTTACGATTATGGAATACAATCACATTGAATTTGCACCTATTGTATTGCTGTCCAAGGACAACTCTAATTGTAATGTTATTGATCACATACTAGACCTATCTATATTATACCATTGTAATCGATACCAGTAGCTTTTCAAGGACGACCTGTATTATCATTGATTAAACATGTATATTAATGTTCTATAAAACAGCAGAATAACATTTGAGACACATGAAACACGAACATTAAAAAGATCTCAGTCAGTGACCAGCCATTATCTCTACTTGCTAAAGTGTACTATAATAATATTTACTATTAGTCTTCAGTCTTCAGTGACAACTTAAATATTTTTATGACCTACAGTATACTGAATTCACTATACTATTCAAAGTTCGAGGACAATGTTGAAGATGATCCTTTGCTCTGAAGAGGGGGGAGGGGTCCATATGTGCCCTCATTTTTACTTGAGTGCATTCTGTTCTCTGATCTTTACCATTAACGAACGAAAATAAATTCCCTTGATTAATGAAATAAAAACCACATTTACCTGGACAGTTTAATATACACAGTATTTCCTTATACAGTTAAATAAATCCGTTATGAAATCGATTTTGACCACAAAATGTGCAGTATTCAAAAGCACCGTGTAAAATTCCTTGATATTCTTAGAACAGCATGTAATATTCCGGTATTTCCACGACACAAATAATATCACCTGTTATTCCGTTAATACAAACCAGTTCTCGAGAACGATTGAACACAAATGGGTATATATTGAAAATAATGCACCGTAACGGTTAATAACGGTTAATATCAGAGATTCACAAGTCAGTATTATAGAGAAGATTAACGAAATAACTCAATATATAATATCAATAAAGATTATCGCGAGCTATAAATAGATCGTCTTAATACATATTATAATAATCCGATAGTGTCTGAACACTGAACACAATAGATAATTGATTTAGGTAGTCAAGGTCAAATTTAATTAGCAAATTAACATTATTAGTTTTTTACCTATTTTACTAATTTACTCAATCTACGATCTGTATTAAGCAACAATGGCTTCCAGATCGCCTCGATCTCGAAAAGGAAACTTCGTCCGTATCATTAGCCCCACAAAGCTGCCCCTATGCAGTTCCTCAGACGTGTTGTACAGTTGTGATATCTTCCCTGATTGGAACTCCCATTGAAAATAAGGTTTTTTGGAGCACCTACCACTTTAAGTATTTTGTGTACCTTCATCTGAACAAAAAATATCTGAGACGAGTAATGCTAGGGTCCAAGACAAAGGATGAAAAGGCAAATGATGGGCCATAAAGGAATAAAATGGATACAGTTTATATAACTTAAAATTGTCTTTAAGTTTTTGACCATACCATGTTTCGTCTTTTTTAAAATTGTAATGTTTTTTTTTATCTTGATCTATTTGAAGAAGAGAAGTGAGTCGGATTATCTCACAATATCCGAGTAAAACATTTATATTGTATTGATTGTGAAATATCGATATATCACAACTCGCCACGACATCGATTTGACCTTCAGTTACACCCTGATCTCGTATAAATGCGATAAATACACATGTGATGTCACCTGTAATACGATAAATACACCTGTAACGTCATAATTCGAGGAGCACTGTAACGTTATCTGTCGTGTATTGTGGTACCACATTTCATTATGAAATACTTACCCACTTATAGTTGATATACTTCCACACGTGAAAATTTCATTAGCTGTTACCAATATATTGCCAGTATGTTGTGATTTTGAGTTTCGTTTTTGCGATATACTCTTCGTCATCTGTCATGTAATACAATAATACACTTGTGACGTCATCTGTCGTGTTATACCATAACTACACGTGTGACGTCATCTGTCTTGTATAATGATATAAATACACGTGTTACGTCATCTGTCGGGCATTATGATAAATACACGTTTGACGTCATCTGTGAGTTTCGTTCGCATGTGTACTTCAATTGGGAGAGTACATTTCATCCTTAGTGCAAAGAGTATGTGTGGCGAAATTCCGAGGTAGGAGGCAGTGGCTCAACTACCACAGGGACGGGTTGAACCAAATGAGTGGTGAACTTAATATGTTTTAAAAACGATTCCCTAGGAAGGGACCCCAACCCACTGTAGTCCACGGGCCCCGACTCATCAGGTTGAGCCTCTGACAGGAAGTAGCGAGTTAAGATCATCCCGTTTGGTGTTACCTCAAAAAATAGACATGTTCACGTTAAATATATAATATAATATAAGAACGAATATCATAGTCAATAAACTATTTATATACAATATGTAAATGATATTAAATGAACTCAGGGCCGTAATTACAGGGGAACAACAAAAAAATTCTGACAACTGACCAATTCCATTACTGCAACTAAACATACACCATTGTCCCTCTGGAAATATTACTTGTCCCTCCCTTCTATCGCATCTTCAGCAGCAGTAGCAAAAGTATGCAAAAACCTTTTCGTAGAAAGGAGTTGCTTGTACCAATATATTATCATCAAGAGTTTTGTGGGTGTGTTCAGATTCACAAAACAAAATGCAAAATAGTTATGTGTAAGCGAGTTTATTGGCCTGTTTAAAAATCACGCCAAATACGAGGTGATCCTGCTCAAGTGAAACACACTAGAGGTGTGTAATAGGTTCAGTAGTGTTTAAGAGACGTCTCTCCATTCCACAGTTGGAACACTGGATCTGATCAAGCAAGACGATGCTCTGATTGGCTGAGGGTGTAGTTATCGACCAATCAAATTGACCGAAACAAAATATACGTGATCCAGATCTGAAAACACTACTCATCGTTTTCGTGTTGCACCATTTCGTTCAATTAAAGCTACTCCAAGCTGTTCGTCATCTTTATGGTCTTTCTCGTCTTCCTCGGATACATATAACAATTTTTGAGTGGTAATTGTTACTTTATCTGTAAATAAACCAGCGAATATCAAACTATGAAACAGTTTATTTCCCCTAGTCCGAAACATCTGTCTCTATTCCAGCTTCTGGCGTATATTTTGACAGTTGTGTGCTGGAGTAGACCAATTACGTTCAAAATAGCTATCAGAGGCATGAATAGAGGCAGATGTTTCGGTCGGATCCATGCTAAATATGTAATTAACAGACAGGATCGACACAAATATGAACAGCTGCTTTTGTACAGGCAGAAATTTAACATAAACGGATCAAAGAACTCATCAAAATTTGGTTTGTTGTCCGAGCGAGTCCAAATGCTCGCAAAGTAGGTTCATTGCCAATAACCAAGTGTTAGATACAGTGGCTCAACTAAATGATTGGGGGCCTGTGGCCAATCCCCCATATTTCTTTTCTAACATACGCTCTCCTGCATTTTTATCTGGGTGTAGGGGCACGTGGACTTGGTTCAACCAGTCCCTTGGGTAGTTGAACCACTGGTTAGGTGTACTGAAACAAAGCACATGGTCTGACTCCAAGAAACTAATGATTACCTAATATGGTTTGTATGAAGGTCGGTTTGTGTCTCCAGTTTCCAAAGAAATATAACGGTAAGCCAGAACAGATGATGATCAGAGCAAGACCGCTTTCTTGTGGTTTCTGGTAGATGGTTAAAATCACCAGAACTAGGCTGATAATTAACATAGTCAGAGGTAGAATCAACGGCAGCTAAAAAATATGAAAAGAACCAAAAAATTAAACTAATGAATAAAGGGTCGATTCACCTGAAACTTGCAATCGACAGAATCGAGCGCCTGCAACTGTCGGTACCTTGGAGTTTCTGATCCAAGAAGTAGTATAGAGTTCATAGACGACTGAAAATTCGCAGTGACCGTCTGTTGACATTCCATATTGTTCTAGTAACAATTGCATCTGGTGGTTGACATGGTCGTAAAGCTCATATCGACATTGACGGATCTGATGGGACGTCTTGAGATCCTTGGTCAGTCCCTTCCGTTAGGTACATCATTCTTTTTTGAGGCGAACCTGTTTCATATGGTATGGACGTAGAATCAGCGTCGTTTCTGAGAATTATTAGTTGAGGACGTCGAGAATTTCCAATGGGTTTTTCAGGCAATTATTTCCTCATGGTAAATAATTAAAAAAAAATTGGAAGTTTGGGGGCTGGGGCCAAACAGGAATTTGCCTGATTCCCCACGTTGCGTAGAATTATGAGTTATGATAATGTAATGATGTATGGTTATAAACATACCTTAATCGGACGGTGTAAGTAGGGTTCTTTCCACCTTAGATATATCAAGGACGCTAAGGTCGACGTTAGAATTATCGTAAAACCAAAACCCATCATCTCAATCAAATAAAATATTTCTTTGAAATTCTGCATAATAATTGTAAGAATACACTGAAATCAATACAAAATATGTTATTGAGAAGAGCATTTGAAACGTCCATCATGACATTGCGACGCGTCAGAGGGCGTTATACATTGATTAAGAAATGGGAATGCATAATCATTTCGGAGGGGTCTTATTGCATGCACGACTTCGATGTTCTCAGAAATTGTGGTCTGTTGCCGTAATCCCAACAAAAAACTGCCAAAATATCTATCAGAGGCTGGAATAAAGGTAGATGTTTAAGACTGTCCACACTGCGTGGTGTATCTTGTCTTCAGTGGTGATTACATGATCAGTAAAACAAATATTAAAACTTATTTCATAGATTCAATAAGATGGCACTTACCATAATGATTAGAGAAGGGGCCGGAGTTTTAAACTTGATGGTGATCATTGAAATTATTTTGGGTAGATGATTATTTTTAGAACCAACATAAAACAATCTGAAAAAGGCAAATCGTTGGTGACATGCATCTATCTATGGATGATAGGGCGATTTGTTATTGTACTTTTTCTGCTAACCCAATTCTTGTCCATAGTTGCATTATAAATAGATAACCTATCTAGACCTGAGGCCCCGTGTGCTACAAGCACAGTTGATAATCGAAAAAGAGTAGGCTAATTCCGTTGTCCTGGCAACTTTCCCCTCACTGCACACTGAATGGCGTTGCCCGTCTTCATTAGCCTACATGGTGCAGAAGAGAGGGACGTAAAACTCCATTTCATTTATTGATACCCACCTTGACATTGAGAGCATAGCGCCGTTCATACTGCCCATGACGGAGATAGCTATTAATACAGGCATGATGTACACTATACCTGGTACAGTCTGTTCAACAAAAGTCTGAAATGAAAAGAGCAGGAATAAAAAAGAAAAAAAAAAGAAATGAGAAATGATTGGTAATTGTGACCATGATAATGCTGTTGATGATTTTTGATGATGACCATGACGATGATGCTGTTGAGAATGAAGATTATGAGGCGGAGGAGGTAGAGGAAGGAGGAGGCTGAAGATGAAGGCGATGGAGGAGGAGAAGGAGGGGAACAGTTGGAGAGGAGGAAATGACTGATGAAGAGAAGGAGGTGAAGAAGGAAGAGGAGAGGGAGATAGAGGAGTAGGATGACGTGGAAGATGGAGGAGGAGGAAGAGAACAACTATTGCTGCCACATGTGGAATTGATCATGATTATGATGATGATGAGAAGGACGACTACGATGACGATAGTGATGATGATGATGATGATTTATCACAGCTACGAAAGAGATGATGGCGACAACGAGGACGACAACAGCGATGATGATGAAGATGATGATGACCAAGACGGCCTGTGACAACGACGATAACGGTGTTAATGATGAAAATGATTATAATATTACCACAGCTACAGCTGATGATTGAAGCATCTCGGTTGGTGTAAGGACGGTAAAATAAGCCACGTTAGCTACCAGATACACGCTGATTATTATCATCATTGATATTATTATTGCCAGTGGCAGGTTTCTGAAATACGAAAAGAAAAGATTATTTGACTTCTGAAGGATCCTGTTTACTAGATAGTCCTTGGTCAAGCTTCTTGGACATGAATTTACAGAGTTCTGGAGGATCTTTTCAAATACCTGATCCCTTGCTATCAAACGTCATGAAATAATCGACATTCAGATCCAATGACAGTTGGGTCGGCTGTACTACAGAGGACAGATGACTTCTTCAGTGCCGTTTCAGTAAGTATTCACTTGCAACTGGACAGATTGCAATAATGAGGAAAAGTAACTAATTACCTATGAGGTTCGATGACTTCATCCGCCAGAAAACTCAAATAGTTCCTAAAAAGAAGCCCATAAAATTGTTTTGAAAATGGATGAAATGTAAGAAGTTTAACGTCCTACTTTAAAGGAATACTACCACTTGGAACAGACATAAAATTTAACATCCCAACCTTGGTCAATAAGAGTTTATATTCATCAGTTGGACTTACCTGGTGCCGGTTGACTAATGACTAAAATCTCTATATAAGATATAGAGTAATCATTGAAAAATGCTTAATAGCTTAGTTTAATATATAATAACCCAGATCTATGAATTGATTTGATTATAGAAGGATTCTGTTGTAGACATCAGGTACTGCGCGGGTCACTGGTGAATAAAGACATTTAGATGGATTTAAACCCACGACACCTTATAGAAGATAGAATGGATGATCTGATTGCTCAGTAACTTACCAGCCTCCAAATGCCCAGAATCCAGAATAAAAAGCGATGGCAATAGATCCGGCTCGATAATCACTACCATCAAATGAATTGTTGAAATTTTCAGTGTGACCTGTTAAAAAAAATAATTTACATTGTGAATATTATTTACTTTACCAGTCTCTTTCTCGGCAGTTCTTAGATGAAAAAACCTAACAAAATTTAAAATTTATCACGTCGATCTTCGAATCAAATCAAATTGTATATGTAGTTTTCATTAGAAAAATAAGGAAACGCTCGGCGTTTTCTATAAACCTTCAGGAACTATGGACCGTTAAGTCTAGCAGGAATCTTTGTATCTTATTTTAAATTATGATTATTCTATTATTATTATATTATTTAAGATGTCACAACCGGGACATTTTGAATGACATGCGAATCAAAAAAAAAAAAAAATAGTAACGTTATATATACGTTTTGCTTCAAGGGAGGTAATTCTTTGTAATTTTATATGACCAGTGAGACTACTTATAAAAAATGTTTATATAAAATGTGTGTCGTTAGGTTTGAATGTATTCAAATCTCTGAAAGAGATGGAATATATAAACCTATTATAAGCCTTCGGAGTACTGTAATTCGAAGCACTGCACGGAGGTACAATGAGTACCTCTCAATATAAGCGAAAACCCCATTGTGCCCTCTGATCAATCTCCCTGTTTCTCTCTATAACCCTATCTGTTTTTCTCTACTGCCCCTACTTCATTTCTCTCTGTTTCTCTATCTCTTATTCTCTACTTCCCGTACTCCATTTCTCTCCGTAACCCTATCTCTTATTCTCTACTGCCCCTACTCCATTTCTCTCTGTAACCCTATCTCTTATTCTACTGCCCTACTCCATTTCTCTCTGTAACCCTATCTCTTATTCTCTACTGCCCCTACTTCTTTTCTCTCTGTAACCCTATCTCTTATTCTCTACTGCCCCTACTTCATTTCTCCCTGTAACTCTAATTCTCCTCTCCTACTTATTTCCTCTCTGTAACCCTATCTCTTATTCTCTACTGCCCCTACTTCTTTTCTCTCTGTAACCCTATCTCTTATTCTCTACTGCCCCTGCTATTTCCGCTAAACAAAATATAGTAACTTCTTGATAAATGCAGATGTCGGGTGAAACGAAAATGAATTTGTACGGTTCTTTTTTGCAAATGTTTTGCTTTATTTTGTGTTTTATTTTGCTTGTGTGTTTGGATTCTTACCGTTAGCTATCCACACCAATCCAATCACTATGACAATTAAAATGGCGATCAGTTTACTTCCGGTTATAATCACCTGGACTTTAGTTGCCCATTTCACATTAAAAGAATTAATGGCTGTCAAGAGAGCTGAAAGACAACATTTTGAGAGATTAATTTATCATCTGATACTAATCGGTCATACGGTTTGTCAACTGGACAACTCATTTGGAGTTTAAAGGGACAGTTTCGCCATCCGTTTGACCAATCGAACCTAAGACCAATCGGGAAGCTTTCAGTTAAGCTAATTACTAATAGTGTTCACAGCTCACCGTCGAAGTTTGAGCCTTCAAATCCATGTACATGCAGAATTATCCGAGTCTGAAAGGTGATCGTAGTGGCCCCCTTTATCAAATTTCTTATCATTTTACAATAGAGAAAGAATTTCATTTCATTTCGACATGCATCAACAGTTTCGGCATATCGTTTTCAGTCATGTTTACGGTGTTAACATCCATATGTAGGGCATCCATGAGTCTCTATTCAACTTTTGAATTGAAACGAGTAACTACTATGAGGCCAAGCAGAAAATTAAATAATCGTCCTTTAAATATATTATAGAACATTGTTAGCCATCCACTATAACAATAAGAAATGTTCCTTAGAGGAATTTCAAAGTTAGTTAACGGCGTCATATTACTATAGACATTTTGTGTGACAAGTTCTAAGTGAGAAAATTACAGTCAAGATACCACTATCAGAGGCGAGGTTTGGGGGAGACAACTGTCAACAATATCTATCAGAGGCGAGGTTTGGGTGAGACAACTGTCACCAATATCTATCAGACACGAGGTTTGGGGGAGACAACTGTAAACAATATTTATCAGAGACGAGGTTTGGGGGAGACAACTATCAACAATATCTATCAGAGGTGAGGTTTGGGTGAGACAACTGTCAACAATATCTATCAGAAGCGAGGTTGGAGGCGACAAATGTCAACAATATCTATTAGAGGCGAGGTTTGGGTGAGACAACTGTCAACAATATCTATTAGAAGCGAGGTTGGAGGCGACAAATGTCAACAATATCTATTAGAGGTGAGGTTGGAGCCAACAACTGTCAACAATATCTATCAAAGGCGAAGTTGGGGTTACAATTGTCAACGATATTTTTAGAAGCTGAAGGTAAAGTTCAAACTGTTTTGACCTAGGGCATGTCAATAGGTTTATGTAAATGACCCTCTCTATCAGTTATCATGTCAGCTATCGAACACGTTACTAAATGAAACTATTAAATGCTTGATATACATGCTTTATATAGATAATTGGTGGCCCAGTATCTAATGACATATCGCTATCAGTCGCTGAACTCTCTACAAATCATTAATGGAAGATTTCTTTTTCTTTTGGTCCTTTCTTGAAATTCCCAAGTTTCGTTCATATAGCATTTCATGACGTAACGTTCACAATGAACATTTTTTGAGAAAAGTATGGTTTGTATGCGATTAAATGCAAATTAAGACAACGTTTTGAGAGGCCCATATTATATCAGATACAATAAGCTTACTTACTAAAAACACAAACGCCCAACAAACGTATGGCCGAATTCGGTGGCTCACAATCGTAGTAAATTGGTCGTAGAACGTACGTTGCAAATATCAACGTTGATGCAGCATTTCCGACTGGTTGTATTATGATAAAATTTATCCACAAACATACGAATGAAAGCGTGTCACCAAACGCACGTCGTATGTAGACGTACTCGCCGCCCGATTGTGGGATACAGGCACCAAGTTCGGCGAAACACAATGCACATCCGGTTGAAAAAAGCCCACAGATGGTCCACAGAACGAGTGACATGCCAACGGACTGCACATTTTGTAAAATTCCAACTGGAGACACAAAGATACCTGACCCAATGATGATGCCGACTATTATAGATACACAATGAAATAGTGTTATTTGTTTTGCAAGTTTCACCTGGGTAGATGTCGGTTGTGAAGTCGGCAGTCTTCTCTCGCTTATAGCCATATTAAAAGTCTCAACGCTGTATCAGCGATGTCTCTACTGTAATTATATTTTAAAACTCGAATCAAGGGGCGTCTCAAAACTTTTATCTTTTTAATTGTCATAAGTTTGACTTAAACCAATGGTTACGGAGCGGATTTACACTCACGGTTACGACGGCCAACGAACACCAACGTTCACGGCTGCTCATCCAATCCAATGGCTACGGCAACTGATTAACAACGGTTACGGTTGCTGATCTTCAATATTCGTTAATGAATGTTTAGTCTCTAAATTTGTCTTGATGACACAAAATCGGTGTACCGAGACCTGCATTGGATTTTGCCCCTCTTATGAATCTATAACGAAGTGTAGTGAAGTGGATTGTTGATCTTTAATTAAAAATGAATTGAGTTACTCCCCTTTCATTGAAATCGTGTCAAAACGTTTCGAGTTGGTTAAAGGTGCTTGGAGTTTAACACTTTTATTTTTGCACCCGAGTGGGCTAATATTAGTAGAAAGCCACGCAGTGTACAGTGCGGGCATTTTTGTCGCGTCAGTCGCACTCGCCATCTCTGTTTCAATTTCAGTCTGTCAAGAGATCACGAACTTGCACAGCTCAAACGACAAACGTCCTATCTAATCGAATAATAGACGATTATCCAGTTATTTATAATTAGCCTATTGGTTAAAGGTTAAAGCGGAGGTCATCGGGTTAGGTCAAAGGTTATTGGGATGAATGTTCAAGAGGGCCGTCATTAGATCTTAACTGTAAAGGCTACCTTAAAAATAAAAGCTAATAAAAAACGGAACGAAACAAGTTTTGTTTTAATTTTTATTTCTTCTTTTCGTATTTCTGGTAGAAAGCTTTCCTTTTAACCTCAGTTAAATATGTTCTTTATTTGTTTTACTTGCTTTTGGTAAGGGGAAATAACACCAAAAAGAATTATAAAAGAAGGGAAATGAAATGAAATGAATGGAGTTTTACGTCCTACTTTTCTGCATGAGGACGAATGAAGACGGGCGACGTCATGACGGAAATTTTGCCAGGACAGCGGCATTAGCCTGCTCTTTCCAACTGATGAGGGATCTTTAACGTGCACAGCCTCGGGCCTCGGTATAAAAGAAGGGAGGTAACACCTGTAAGTTTTATAATAAATCGTTATTAAATAACATAACTTTATTCGTAACAGATCATTATTCGTTAATATATTCGGGCTATTTACAACAGAACGGCTCGGATTATTAATAATCTAGTATTACATCAGTAAGTTCATATCTGGACTATTTACAGACAACCAGGAACATATTCTCGAAAACTTAAAAAAATGCAGTAATCTGATTGGATAATAACTAATCAATTTAGAATAAATTTAGATTACTAACTAGATGATTGGAACACTAAAATCACCTTAACTCAAGTTTTCGAGAATAAGGCTCCGATTGGTTTATTTAGTTAGGCCTACTACAATAATATCAAATTATCAAAATGTGTCATTCTTAACCTACTGATCACTTAACCGAAACACATTGATAACTAAATTGCACGGAATATAAACACGTGAACATCGCATTTCCATTTCGCCGGAACAATGTTTTGGACTTATGCGTAGCCTCTTATTTGGCTTTGTTCGACATTCTTCAGCATTCGAAACCAAATACGTGAATAAGCTTAGGTCGTTCAGAGGTCAATAAGAATATACATTTCGAATACGACGAAACTAGACTTTGCATTTAGAAACGTAAGCAAATCATTCGACGGTCAATCTGATTGTTAACTAAGTCCAATCACCACAGTCTTTTCACCATTTGAACGAACACCATCTGGTTTGGACAATAAAACAAAATTTCACAGAAACCAAAATTAAGCCATTTGAGTTCACAATGTAACGAGACATTGTATAGTTTGATTCAGATCTGTCTATAACTTTACTATATACAACACCAACGTCACCATATTGTATTACTACATATTTACTACAACATTGTGGCAAGAAATCTACATTGACCACGTCACCGGAGTAGTGTATCGCGTCACCAATACATGGGTTGTGTATAACGTCACTAATACAGTGGTAGCGTCACCGACACGGGGATAATATAATATAACTTAAATCGTCACTAGTACAAAAACGCCACTAGTACAAGAAATGAGTATAACGTCATCGGTACTGATGTGTAATACGTCACCAACACAGGGGTCACTAATATAGGAGTTGTGTATAATGTCATCAGCACTGATGATGTGTATAAAGTCGCTTACACACGAGTCACTAAGATAAGAATTGTGTAAAACGTCACCAAGACACCTATACCGACAGATATGTGAAACGTTACGTGTACTGGATAGATGTGTATTACGTCATCAGTACTGTGGTCTGCCACAGTTTGTCGTGATCGGAGGTAGAAAACACAGAAACACTACACACTACTCGTCAATGTCTTCTATATTTCCTCCTCTTTTTCTTTTCATGTCTGTTTTTCTTTTTATTCTTGGGTTTATTTTGTTTTTCTGCATTGATGTAGCCTTTACGTCCTAGCTCATCCACTGATATTTCAGGACAGAATCCCGTTCTAATTTGAAACGGCGATTCTTTCACCGTACACTCAGGGGTCATACACTTTCCTGATTTGATGCATCTGAAATAGAAAGAGTAGGTATCTAAGAAAGATGTCCAAGAGAGGAGAAGAATCGAGCAAGAGAGGAGAAGAATAATACAATTTTTAACACGTTACCGGAGTTGTGTATAACCTGACATTAAATTGTTGTGTCGCCACTAAGACAATGATAGTGTCATCAGTACCACAACGTTGTTTACGATTCAGAAAAAGCATTCAGAATCGTCACGTTACATTACTGTGTATTTTGTTACTTCCTGTAGCTTACGATTGATAGTCGCACCATAACCATTAAATCATCGAGACACGGTTTGTATTTTTTTTTTCTGTCTGACAAGAAAGGTGACTTCACTGCACAATGTCATATTTCAAACTATTTAATTATAGAAAGTTCACAGCCCTTGCACTTCCTTACATATTATAGAGGAAAATAACTACATTAAATACGTGATATATACCCAGTTACAAAAGATGAGCTCACGTCGACTGCACGACTGACAGAATCTGGGAGCCACTGAATTTTCAACAACTGCAAGCAACTGGCAGTGTCTCAGTGGCTAAACTACCACGGTGTTTGTTAGAACCATGTCCACGGACCCCCATCTCTAAGGGACCACCACCCCAGAAAAAATGCAAGAGAGCATTATGTTGAAAATATTCCCGGGAGAGTTCCCCAGTCCACTTAAGTTCACGGGCTCCCACGCATGTAGTTGAACCACTGGGGTATCTGGGAGAAGTTGATTAGTCATTGGATTTCGCCAACGAGAGGCTTGTCGACTGCGTCGGATTCATTGAGATTCTTTTAATCACATCGTCATTCAATTTCAACATTTATCTGAATACACATCTAAATATACCATATTCACAATGGCAAGCTATTACCAACTACGCCAAATACCTTGACATCATTAAGCACTTTTCTTGCATCACAATATTCAGCGAATTAAGTGGGATATATACGCTTGCTATTGCAGACAATCAGAGTAATGTAAACGTAATGGTTAATTTTTTACAGATCTAAGGCCTATAACATTGATTGGCTGAATTCGCTAGCATACAATCCAATCAATATCTGCATATACAAACTTCCATGATACAAAATAGTGCTTTATGATGTCAAGGTATTAAACATAGTTCTTCATATCTAGCAGGACTTTAGGCACCGGGAGACACTTGTCTTCAAACTGGTTAGCTCACCATGGTGCAGCCATAATACTTACTCTAGATCTTTCTCTGTCAGTGGATAAAGTCCATCTTTAATTGTTCTACAGATTATATTCTCTTCGTTTTCTCCTTCCAAACAATCACAGATACACCGCAGTTCTGGTCGGAACTTCACGAAGGGGAACGGACATTCTTGATGACACCTGAAACGATACCAACAAAATTGCAGGACCTTCTGGGATACCAGGTGTTGATTGAGGGCTTGGCGAAAGAAAAAAGAAGCATCTTTCAACAAGGAATATAACTTAGGTTCTCGAGGGTTCTTTCTACCAGCTGATCTTTGACCAACCTCTTGGTATATATTGTACCAGGATAACAATTTAGGTTCACGAGAATCCTGTATACCTGCTGCTCTTTGACCAAACCAATGGCAATGGTTTTACAATGATAACAACTTAGATTCTCAAGGACCCTGTCTTCCAACTGCACCTTGGCTAAACCAGGGGTTTCAGACGACATTTTCAACCAGCTGATCTTTGGTCAAACCCTCTGTTCTTCCTGGACTATCTCTATAAAAATTGTATTTACTTTAACTAAAACACATTGTGTTAAATTAACTGTGGTCTGGATAAATTAATAATGTTCTTAGTTGAATTACCTACCCTGGGAGGCCTTTTCGTTCCTTGCAGCCACATTCAGTATGATTGATAAAGGTTCGTGTTTCGAGCAGAGTCTCGTGAGGTCGGACTGTCCCGCCTTTCTCGCTCACCGATAACACTAAAAATGTTTTTTTCACAACTTGTAAATATTTTGGTCCACACTCCTGACTTTTATTGCCGCAGCACCCACTTGTATTCCTACACCGATATAAAATAGTGCACTCTGGGTACAACATCCGGTTGAAATGGTTTTCAGCCTCCACGTGAACTATTTCCGGTTGTGGATATTTACACTGGCTCATTGGACTCGTTTCCATCTCTTCCATGTGGTGGTAGGCTTCACTTAATTCTGGAAAACATAGATTTAATTTATTTTATAACTAATTTAGGGTGACTATTGCATAGTGGGATTTGATTTCGGCCAATCAATGCCGTGGTGACATATGTTTTCATCCAATCATTGCCAAGGTAACGGTAGCTTCCACGCGAATCTATAGATGGAAATTCTTTTTGAAGCAAATGGATATCCTGTTACTCAAATAATCCCACAAACGAAATTGATGGAAAAAAGCCCTTTACCTTCTTCAAACATATTGGTTCCAGCAATCGCCATTTTCTCATCTTCATAGTCAAACTCGAAATCATAATCATCGCTGTTCTCTCGCTTCTTCTCGCTTTTTCCCGTTAACAAATTCTCCATAGTTCTCGCCGCCAGCAGTTCGTGAATCTGATCATCCGAAATGTCTTTCTCTTGTAAGAATATTCGGATTATATCATAAGATTTGTTAAGACGGCGGATAGAGTTGTGGAAGTCGTTCATGGACAGTGTTTGGATAGTCATATCCTGTGAAAATATCAAACAGAAATGAGTTAAACATAGATGACTTAACTCAAACCATTCATAGGTAAATCTTAGAAGAAAAGTACAGCTTCTAAAGCCCCAGTTCCTTAATTGATCATCGGTTTTCTAGGGGCACATCTAAGAAGCCGAATTAAGATGCTTCTTGAGCAAATTTCAAATAAAATTCATCTAATTAGATTCTCTGAAGCGTATATCAGCGGTGAAATTGAAGAGAAATGTAGACTGTCATTGCTCTTGTGAGATGGTTCGAGGACCAACCTCCCCGATACCCATCCTGAATAAAGATAAAGCATACTAACCGTTAAGACTTCGGAATCTACAAACTGGTTCACATTTTCGATAGAATCATAGTCACTGTCTAGTGTCTTATTAAAGATTATCCCGGTACACGTGGCAAATAGCACCAATAACACACACTGTCCTAGCAGACGTAATACTCGCATCCTGTTCCACGTTGGTGCCGACGAAGACGAAGACGTTGATGATGATGATGGTGATAAAGACGTTGACGATGAGTTGAAAGAAGAACCAGATTGAAGCTGTCGACAATGGTGACACTGATAATACTCGGCTAATTCTGGAAATGGAACTTTCTGCTGGAAATTGTCGGCCTGTTGCACACTGTACGACGCCCTGTAAAGAGATACAGAATATTTCAAATAAAAATAATAATGACATAAAAGTGAATCTGCATCAATCGAAACTGCCTGCAAATATATTGATGGATTTCATCTCAAATTAGGGATACCCTTGAATAATTTGAAACTAATAGATGCATGACGGGCGTGTCAGTTGTTCGCCCGACTTTCAAGAAACTTCAATGGCTAAACAAGATGAGTGGGCGCTCGTGGGTTGAGGTCCATGCGCTGAGAATTCTTTTAAACATATGCTTGCATTTTGTCTCGGGGTGGGCCCCCTTAGGGATGGAGACCCATGGACCTGGTTCAACCAGTCCCTATGTTAGTTGAGCCACTGGAAAGCTAGCGACTGTGTTTGTCGGTTTGGTAACATTGTCAGAGTCAATAAACTAACAAGCTAGTATTGGTCATTGCCAAATCGGTGCCTTCAAAGATTCGACAATACATTGATATTACATCACAGGAATTGGAGAAAGTCTCTGATACACGTAATTTTTTTAAGAATTCTTTCTTTTACTGGTTCTAATATTTGAAAACAATGAAGATTACAGTAAGAATGTCGATTAGAAGTTGAGATTGTACTAAGATGATATCAAGGGGGGTAGAAATAATATCAAATTAAAATAACAGACATCTCTCATTATTAAACTCTCTTTAGTCAGTTTTTACATCGTTAAATTTTAAATCAACAACAACTACCACATCGAGACACAAACACACGGGGGGTCGGAGATAGCTTAATATTAGAGAGGAGGGGGGGGGGGGGGGTCTTAGTTAGACAATCCGATTGATAGCGATTGTTTGTGTGGCATCGATAGCTGGGTTTTATTGACCACTTGGAACATCATTTAGTCAGTGTGGCTTATAATAATTAAAATCGGACTCACGGTCCATTACTTAAAGGGTGTTTTTAGGTGCTTGGAAATATTTTTAATCAAATTTATGAATACTATACACCAAAATCTAAAAAGTATGTTCTTAAAATAACTGATAGTTTTAGTATCAAGAACGCCAAAACAAGTTAAACTGTTTAGGTGAACATTTTAACTTCGTAATGTTTTTTGGTTGATATTGGACAACTAAAACTAAATATTGAGGCATTATAAAGCCAAACAACAAAACCAGATCAAACAATTAGTACGCTCTGTATTAATCACCGCTTTTAAAACAATACATAGAAATATATGGCGATATATTTTCGAAAGTTCTTTTTCAAATATGTTGCTGTCTCTTTAAACAAAAGATTTAGCGGATATGTATACTGTCGTCACCTCGTTATTAACATCCTCGGGGATCTAGGATAGGAATGCCCGATAATGTTGGTTAAGCAAATATTTGGGATTCGGTCGAAAAGCAAATATGAAAATCCCTGTATAATGTGCTCTTGGAGAACTCTAAACCCCAAATTAAGTGTAAATTAAATAATAGCTTGTTTTATAACTAAAACAGATGGTATGAAAATAAAACATTCCTCGATTATTAAGAGAAAATAAATAAAGATCTTACCCTAACATACCTCACGCTGTGAAATATAATATCGAATAACTTACTTAATACCCTAGACGGTTAATATCCACTTTTCAATAAACTGCATTGATGATGCAACTTTGACTCGAGTGATGAAATTAAATGAAATTTAATGTTTCGACTTCGATTTTCTGTTCAGTGAAAATGTGTGGGAATATGACAAAACATTTTTTTTGTCGTACTTCATACTCTAGATACGTTACTGGACTAATGAAATGAAATAAAATGAAGTATTATGTCCTACTGTTCTGTTTCTCATTGGGCTAATGAAATGTTTTACTGTTCTGTTTCTTATTGGGCTAATGAAATGTTTTACTGTTCTGTTTCTTATTGGGCTAATGAAATGAAATAAAACGCCTAATGAAATGTTCTACTGTTCTGTTTCTTATTGCGCTAATGAAATGAAATATAGTTCTATGTCCTTATTGGGTTTGGATATGCAATGAAATACTTTTTTTAAGTCTCACTTAATCCTCCTGTCCTGTACCTTATATACGTATAAAAGAGTTTTACGTTCTACTAATCTGTTCCTTATTGGACTAATGAAATAAAATACCCTACTGTTCAGTACCTTATTAGACTAATGAAATGAAATGGAGTTTTATATCCTACTGTTCAGTACCTTATTGAACTAATGAAATGAAATAGAGTTTTATATCCTACTGTTCTGTATCTTATTGAACTAATGAAATGAAATAGAGTTTTATATCCTACTATTCTATATCTTATTAGACTAATGAAATGAAATAGAGTTTTATATCCTACTGTTCTATATCTTATTAGACTAATGAAATGAAATAGAGTTTTATATCCTACTGTTCTATAGCTTATTGAACTAATGAATTGCAGTATTTAATGTCCTATTAATCCCTACCTTGTGTGATCAGGAGCAATCCCATGATGTGTGCAATGAGAGTCTCCATTTCCATGTTATAAAGTGTATAACTTGTAAGATGAATTTTGTTTTAATTTGTTTAAAATAAAAGTTAACATAGTAATACATTATTCAATGTTGTGTTTGTTGTTATTTTTTTGTAATAAGATTGTAATATATGCCCTAGCATGTCACATAAAATATACATTTCACAAGAATAAAAGTTAATAATGATACATCAAAGCTTATGTGACGTTTATTGCGCCTCACAAATGTGCACATTAAATTTAGTAAGGTGCGAAAACCCCAATTATTTATTATGTGCTTCACAATGGCACATAAATTCAGAACGCTGGCGGCCAGGATTTGATTAAACTAATTACCATTTCTTCATATTTAAACAAAAACTTCGAAACGTACGTTAAACCATACACCCTTATCAATAAATATCAAAAGTATTGGTGTGTTGTATCGAAACGCTGTGAGGCTGGTTTTTCCCCATCTGAATGAGATTGTTTGGTCGTACTCATACTATATTCACGAGTTTCGTGCGTGTGTTAATATTTACAAAACAAAACGTATGTAGAAGCGTGTTAATTAGCTGTATGGAAGTCACGTGACATCACGTTTCCTATCTATGGTTAACTTTCTAAAGTGAAACACGGTAGAAATATGTTATAGGTAATATATTAGTTCCATTTTAATCTTTTTGTCCTGGCTTCGATTTTCTTTCATTAATTTTCGTCATTGGCTTCATTAATCAGAAGCGGCCAGTGATAATTTTCACGTATATTAGATTTCGTTATAAATTGAGAGAAAATATAACTTACAGTACAGGTTCACCTACAAAATCTATTTTTACTTGAACAACCCCAATTCAAAAGTAGAATATTAATTCTTTAAAGAAATTAAGGTTATAGAAAGGACATCCAGGTGTGTCGACAGGCAGCCAATCAAACTGCATAATTTACTGTGGAAACAATCCTTAAATAAACCAGACTCACTAATTCACCCATGAAATGACTTTAATTTAGCAAAAAATTTCATTGACAATTTGAAATATTTGACTGTAAAATAAACATAAAGTTATATTTGTGTATATATACGACTTGTTCATTCAGACGTCTTGTATCGTTATCGCTATGCACCTATGAGTACAATATTATGAATTCATACAATTTGCCCTTTAATGACGACACGTGTATATTGTGTTGAAACGTTATGTGCCCAACCTTATTAAAGAAGTTTGTTATATTCCATACTATTGTCTTGTGTTTTTGTTATATATGTGCTCATCGCTTCTATATGTCGTTCAAATCTTATATTATGTTCGTCTGCTGACAGAGGCCTATAGAAATATCCCGTCTTCATTAGCCAACATGGTGCAGAAAAGAAAGACGTAAAACTCCATTCTATTCAACTGTTGAATAAACTGAAGACCCCCCTCCCCCCCCCCCCTCCCCTTTTTAAAATGATGGTCTGTGTGTAGTGGTTGAGTACTAGTACATGTATATTGTATTAATAATAATAAAGATATAAAGATACTACCAGAGTATATCAAACAGCAGGCAACCAATTACACCGTCTAGCCGTTCATATAAATAGTTCTAATCCCCTTGGTAGAAATAACAACATACAACCTAACTACACACAATACACCGAGTCACCCTTTATTGTTAAATATTGCTTAAATTATCTGCCTGTTGTGGGCAGTCATGAACTTTCAAGAAATAGAACGAAATGATTTTAAGTATTACATCATACTGTTAAACCGGAACTGGTAAGTACATAGGATCTGTAAGCGACAAGGAAAAAACAAGGTGAGGGTGCCTCTTTCGAATATCAGTAACTTTCCTTGCCAAATTTCCCTCAGTGCGCACTGAAAAGTTTGTTAGTGCGTACACTGAGTCCAGAATAGTAGGATATAAACCATGTTCATTATTCATTACAACAACCTGTTCACTTGATGATGCAAGTCTATTATTAGTGATATCAAAAATTAATTCATGTTGCGTTCAATTACATCCAGAACAGCTGTTTTTTATTCATTACAACAACCTGTTCACTTGATGATGCAAGTCTATTATTAGTGATATCAAAAATTAATTCATGTTGCGTTCAATTACATCCAGAACAGCTGTTTTTTATTCATTACAACAACCTGTTCACTTGATGATGCAAGTTTATTATTAATTTACCTATTATTTATTTATCATTTATTATATATTTAGCCAAAACATTTCCCCATTGCGCACTGTATAGCATTGTCCCTATCAATAATCCAATCAGATGGTAAAAATAGGACGTAAACCTTCTTGAAATTTCAATTCTATCGTTTTAAAAATCGATATGTAACGTGCACCATGTGGAAGTTAATAATAAAAATAAATCAACATCATAAAACTCTGTCATAAACCTTGATTTCAATCTAAAATCGATAGACAAACAACAATTAAAGCAGCTTTTAGTAACAGGGTTTATGTAGTGCACGATATTTTCGTCTGGTTTCAGAAATATGGAAGATTAAAGACTAGTCTTGATTTAGTCATATGAAAGATTGACTGTTAGCCACCTAGCTGTAAATGGATACATACGAGATCAATGTCAAGATGTTTGGCCAATGATCAGCTGGTAGAAGGATTCTTAAGAACCTAAGTTGGTTTGGTACAGGACTAGTTATTAGACAGGATTCTTTGGTTGTTATCTGTGTAACATGTACAGAGATTTAACCAAGAAACAGCTGGTAGACAGGATCCTTGAGAGTCTAAGTTGTTATCCTTGTGAAATGTTAAATCATTGCCGATAGCTTTGGCCAAGGAGCAGCTGGTAGACAAGATCCTTGAGAGCTTAAGTTGTTTTCATTATTACGTCAATGTCCAGGGGTATGGCCAAGAACCAGTTGATAGACAGGATCCTTATTATCCTAGAAAAATCATTGCCAAGAGGTTTGACTAAAAGATCATCTGGTAGACAGAATCCTTAAAAACCTTGGTTGTTATCGTTGGTAAGAATTTGACCCAGGAGCTGGTAGACAGGATCATAAAGAACCTTATCGTTGTAAAAACAATGGTAAGAATTGGACCCAGGAGCTTGTAGACAGGATCTTGAAGTATATTCTACCCGTGAACAAAGAATATCGTCAAGAAATGTTTTGACAGTTTTAGAAATTTGCCAGAATTAAAGAAAATGGAATGGAAATGATTCAAAAGAATAAAAGTTAATAATAAGAAATAGTTTAATGGAGTGTATTATAAACAAAGCAATTAAACGCTGATGGAAATTATCGACAGTATAAAATCAGAAGAATGATAATGCAATTAAACCATCAACACTTTGTTTTTGTTTCTATTAGAGACCACTCGGCACTGGTTGGTCTGTTTTACCATTTATCCTGTCTTGTTTGTGAATCTTAAAGAATGTGATTTTTTGTATGTGTATCAGGAATACCAGTCTGCTTTTCTAGCAGTGATAGAATCTGAACGAGATGTTCTGGAATCACAGACGTTATACAGACATTATACAGGGGGGGTGGGGGGGGGGGGACGGTGAAAATCTGTATGTTTCTTTCATGGGTCCAACCACTGCGTTCACTTTCCAGGTAATTGGCCGTTGGCAAAACAAAGACACCTAGAATATTGTTTATATTAAGATAAGTTACAGCTTGAAATAGATTTAATTAGAAAGTTCATCTCAACTATTTTATCATTAAATACACTTAGATAATAAACTTATATAATCATAGGATAGCTAGGATTCTCGGTGACGTGGGTTCGAATCCTTTTGATGTGAAGTATAGACGTATATACTCATAGTTTGGATTATCGGTGCCGAGGGTTCGAATCCCCTTGAAATGAAGTATAGACGTATATACTCATAGTTTGGATTATCGGTGCCGAGGGTTCGAATCCCCTTGAAATGAAGTATAGACTTATATACTCATAGTTTGGATTATCGGTGCCGAGGGTTCGAATCCCCTTGAAATTAAGAAAAAGACCCAAACAATTTTAGCATTCTCGATGCCGAGGGTAAAAATCCCATTGGAATGAGGAATAGACACAATTAAGGATAGGTTAGATTCTCGGTACCATGGGTTCGAATTGTCTAAGGCCAGTGCTTTTAAGCAATCTTCTATCTTCTACACCTTACCTTACATCTTGAAAATGAACTGAGAATAAACACTCACTGCAATAGTAAAACTATGCATAAAAACTAAAGAGTAGAACGCACCTTGTGGGTATTTAAAATATATTTCTGGAGTTAAATCATCCCTGGTGGAAAATAAACCAACTTTTATCTCGAATCCAAATCTGTCACATAAAAAATTTCAACTCACAAGCTCACAAGGTAAAATTGAAGTAAACAATCGTTCCAGACAGTTTACGTCCAGATCGTTGATGATTTTAATAACCGCATTAAATTCGCTGAGTTCAATTAAAGTAAACAATCGTTTCACAGAAGTCTAAGTCTAGATCGTTGATGATTTTGAACAAAAATATAAACGTCATTAAATGTAAAAACTTAGTCAACAATCGTTTCATAACAGTTTATGTTTAGATCGTTGATGACTTTATACAAAATACACACGCACTAACTGCACTAGTAAAAATGAAGTAAACGATCGTTTCACAACAGTCTGAGTCTAGATCGTTGATGATTTTAAATGAAACTATAAACGCGTTAAATTCACAATGCAAAAATGTTATACACAATCGTTTCAGAACAGTTTACGTTTAAATCGTTGATGATTTGAATAAATATTCAACCCCAATTAAATTCACAACGATCACAACATTTTTCAGAGCTGTTTAGATCACCAAGTTCCTAGACACTATTCCAAATTTAAACAAAGAAGAAAGGAATAAGAAAAAGCCGAGTTGATTTTAATCAAATCATGATTGCAATCAACATTCTTGGTTTCAAGGTAAACTGCCAAAATAAACTACACAATCAGGTTTTTATTACCATCATTCTATTTCATTAATGTAATCATCATGGAAATAAACATTACGATGAATTAAATTCCGGATGGTCGAGGCCAAATTTGCATAGTTTGGAATTAAAATATTTGCACTTTAGAGATGATTTTGGTTAATAAGTTTATAAAGACTAATAGGTACACCGATTTGTTTTCCTTTATTATAGATGGACTAGAACCCCGATTCTCAAGTTGAATAGTGATACAGGTCATTGATAAATAATTCAAAATTACCAGGTACTGCAAGCTGCAAGTGATTAAATGGAAAAAAAAAACTTTCGACAACGCCCCCACCTGTTCTAATGGCTATGGCAGCACTAAGTCCTACTAAATAGCGCAACAAAAACATGCAAGCGCAAACAAGCGCAAACAAGCGCAAACATTATATTCGTATGCTCTGTTACAATTAAAAAAAATCGAAACATTTAAGAACTTATACCATTAAAAATTCATAAAATGGTTTTGTAGATTGCAAAAACAAGATCTCTTTAACAAATTATACCAAATCAATGAATACATCCCTTGAGATAAATGTGTAGATGTGTTTAAAAGTCGATCAGTGCAGAATGTATAGTTTGCATACCAAAGAGTAAAAAAAACAATGTTCAGCGTATATCATAAACGAAACCAATAACCTACGAAATGAAAGTGATATCACAGAAAAAGGACACGAACTTGATAGATAAGGCGATTAAGGTGTCTTCAAATTACAAATAACAGACCAAATTATAAACGTTATAACCATAAGAATGAAAGTGATATCAGAGAAAGGACATGTATTTGATAGATAAGACGATTACGGTGACTTCAAATTACAAATAACAGTCCAAATTACAAACAAAAATTTGACCTTGGTCACAGAATTGAAGTTTAAGGCTTGTAGACATATGTAGAAAAGATTTAAACTAGCTTAATGGGGAGTTTAGTGGTCGTTGAAGAAATTTGGCTTAGAGACGTCAATCATCAATGCATATCAACTCAATTCGCAATTTTGTGGAAACAAAACACATTTTTACACTGTTAACAACGTAGGAACTCGAAGCTAGTCCTCCACAGAAGTTCCTGACAATTATTTTAAAAGGACAACAAGTTTGGGTTCTCTGGGATCCTGTTAACCAGTATGTCCTTGGCCAAACCCGCTTGACAATGATTTTATAAGGATAACAAATTCAGTTCACAAGGATCCTGTGTTTCAGCTAATCCTTTGTCAAACCCCATGGCAATGACCCAGCCAGGTCACCTTGGTCCAAATTGCAACACAATTAATTCATAAACACGCTGCAATTTCGACAGGGAACATTTTAAGTGAGTTTGAAAGAAAGAAATCGCCTACCGTCGTTTTTGGACTTGAACAGTAGGGTAGAACTGGAACAATTTGGACGCTAAATAACCAAACCTTCGACCTTTTTTCTTGCCTCGACTATTCACCCTACAATAGTCGAGAAGCAAATTCAAAGTTTTTGATTATTGATAAATGGGGAACAAATTTTCTAAAAGTTTTCTTACAGGGGCAGCGTCATTTCTTTCGTCTCGGTAAATCATTTGTTGTAGATTTTAGACAGATTTAAAAGTTGTATTCCCTCCTTTTTAATCAAATAAATAAAAGTATGATCACCTATCTTCATAGCATTAGAGCAACATCCAGTGTTGCTGCTTTTCTGCTAAATGAAATTTTTATTATTTTATAGAAATACTTTATAACTTATATACTTTTTAACATAGGGGGGCGTTACGATGTAAGACTCATTTTTATTAAAAAAAAAAACACCTGATGTCATTCTGCAACTGGCTTTGTCAATCTAGCATCTCTTCCCTTCAGGTGAATCAACGGCTAATGTTATCTATTATCATAATATTTTTTTTATATTCATCTTGAATTGTACAAAGCGTTATTAATCTGTCTGAACCAGAAACAAAGGTTTTTAACTTTTATATCAGACTTAATATTGTTCTAGATAAAGTATATCAAAATTTCAATCCGCGCCGATAAAGACCAGCCATGATAGTGTCACTCTTCGGTTTTTATAGTTTAATTCTCATGGCAAATGAAATAAATTTTGGTAAAAAATGAAATTATAATCTCTCGGGAAATCTAGAACAATAAATCATGGCATTTTGCCATTATTCATATTTTTAAAATACAAGATCACCCGTGGTTAACAACGTAAAGAGGTATAAAACGTCAGACGCAATATTCATTAGTCATTGTAAATCATAATTTCCCAAAATGGCTTTTTGGTACATTGTATTTCAAAACTGGTGATAGTTGCTACTAGTCGACCCTGCCGTGAATGGGTACATGAAATCTGAAACAGATCAATGCCATGGGGTTTGACCGAGGACCAGCTTGTAAAAACAATCATTGTAACATCAGTACCAAGAGGTTTGACCAAGGATCAGCTGGTAGACAGGATCCTTGCGGACCTTTGTAGGATTATCTAGGCAAACTCAATGCCAAGAGGATCCTCTTGATCCTTGATATTGTTATCCATGGAAAACATCTATGCCAAGAGGTTTGACCGAGGATCAGCTGGTAGACTGGAGAGCCTATCCTTTCTGACCAAAAAACATGGATGCTCGGCGCTACAGCGTACTGTTCTTGGTACAATGGCTGGTTTCTGTGAACACAATGCCTGCCAGTGAGAGCTCATCAATCTTAACTAATCATCTAGGGGTGGTCTGAAAATCTATCTCGACCTAATCAACAAAACCTGCTTTTTTACAGATATCGTGTTATTCATACTTAAACAGTTGATATTTAGCCTCCATTACAAAAACAATTCTGGCAATTTTCTCAAGTGTAAGAAATACTGGTTCAGTTTCTAAATAAATTCTAGAATAATTCGTGGTTTGTTTTGACAGAAGAGACCATCCCAGGATCTGCTTTTGATGTTTTTGTATCGTTTATCATGTAATTCTTAAAACTCCAAGGTACACTCTGTGTAAGATAAAACACAGGAGTGGTATATCACACTCCGGATTGTAAACTGGTCTACCGTTCCATCTAGAGTTTCGCCCCGTTAGTTTAGCGATAAGCAACCACAAAGGGTACCAGTTTAACCAGAGAGACCTGTCGGCAAACAAAACCATTACAGGGCTCTCTAACGCTTTGCTTAGTGAACTCTTGACGTGGTTTAGATTTAGGGATAAAATACTAGAATCTACATCCAAGGGTATTAATCGGTTCCAAAGGGGCCTTGTCTTTCCGCTTCCCATAACATTTCCCTAATGCAAAGTTTACTTTTGTAGTCAAGGTATAAGACGAAGTTCGTAATAGTTTGACATTGTGAAGATGCATCTCAAAAGCCTAGACTTTTACAACTACTACAGTCTTCTGTTAAGGTCTAACGACAGCCCTCTTGAACGTTCGTCAAGTTAATCTTTTGACCTAACCTGAAAAACACCGCGCCACTGACTAATAATGAAACGGAACGAAAGTTGGGTCTAAGTTTAATTAGACTTACAACTACCCAAAGCTTTTGGAAACCTACTGGCACTCTGTGACTGGGATTGTCAACCTAACGCCCCTTTTAGAGAGTTCACATAGCTAATAATGTTTATTAGGTATTTATTTACTACATAACTCGTCAAATACTAGCATTTACACCTCTAAAATAACAACAACACCAAAATAAACTTCCCTTCCCTAGGGTGTAGGTTGTACTATATTGTACATGGTAAACATACACGGTGCACATGTACGAACATGCATATAAATGTTAAAGCGACATATGTTATATATTTCACAATACCAGCTGATTATTCTCTAGTCCGAGATATTCTAATTACTTGCATAACGAATTCCTGATCTCGAAGATACCGAGGGCACGCTTCACCAGCATTGTAACTCAGATTAAATACGTTTTCGAGATATAGTAATTCTATTGATTGATAAAACTAGAAGGGAAATTAATTCTGACCAATCAGACGAATTCAAGAAATATTGTAATTCTATTGGTTAATAAAATCTCGATTAAGTGTTCAACCAATCAGATGTCTGGCACAACTAAACTGAATTAAGAACTACAGTAATTCTATTGGTTGATAAAACTAGATGGGACATCAATTGACCAATAAGATGACTGGAACCACTAAACAGATTTAAGAAATAAACTTCGATTATAGTGATTGGGCAATCAGATGAAGAGGCTGATAGTTGACTTCAGAGCGATTCAAAGCCTCTCATCCTGAGCAATCGACAAACACGAACTGACAACTGCGATCAACTTGACAGTCGCCTAAAGCGACGACAAGAACCAGAAAGTAGAACATGGACAACTGTTTACAAATGCCATATTTCAGTCGTCGGTGTAGGGAGATTATCTAGATCCTCCCTGATTCCCACAGGTTACTAGCAGTCGTTCAAATTCCAGAAGCCTCGGACACTGCCAATTGCATGGTCGATCTGAGCTAATCTCAAAAATCATCGAAACTTTAAATTACCCTTTGCCTTATTTCACCTTTTGAAGCATGGCATACTTTTCTAAAAACTACGACATTCTTTACAATAAACCAAACAACTTACTTACTGAACAAAAAATATCCTCTTCCACCTTTTTATTCAAAATAAGATCCAAGTCCGATAACCCCTTTTTATTCAGGGAGATTTCTGTTCGTCATGGGTATTTTCAGTCGGTTTGGATTACAACCTTTCGAACAATACCCCACAATGTAATGGAATTCATACATTCCGACGGTGTGAAGACCTTCATTTAAAATTCAAAATCAAACAAAACAACAAAGGTCCGTGAAAGTCGCGGGATATTAAATTGGCCAATCTTTTTATCAAAATTTTAAATTTATTCCAGTTGGTGATAATCTCTATCCCCGATCGCACTCTATGAATAATTTTAACAATAAATTGAAAGATTGAGATGAAAACTTTATAAAGATCTGAACAATCGAGATGGTGATAATTTTAACACAAGGCAAAGTCCAGGGAAATAACTTCTTTGATTATGTGTGCCTCCGTTTGATTGGATTGTATGCTAGCGAATACAACCAATCAAAACCCCCGATTAAACGCGAAGCCGAGTTATTTACATTCTGTCTGTCAGGCTGTGATTATTTTGTAGTCGGTAGCGTCCAATTCAATCAAATCACTGCATCACTTGATACAGGAAAGTGGCTATTGAAGTCAAGGTATGAGACGCAGTTCGTAAAAGCTTGACAATATGAAGATGTCGCCGCGTGTGTTCACTCTTTCTATTTTCTGCTGTATCGATAAACTCATACTGGAGCCGCCAAACTATTCCAGTTGAAAACAACCATGTCGTGAACAGTGAGTTCTGTTTATTTGATGCCCGAGACATGTTCTACAGATAGCAGGTTCTATTATAGACTACAGACCAAGATAAAATAGCCCAGAATAAACTACAGTGGTCTGATTTCAAAGAGTTAATTTAACATAACACGATAGTACATCACGAACAGTGGGGCGACTGGACTCGAACACGTTCTGATATAACTCTTAACTGATAACATAACATGTATTCAGTCTAAGATGGACGGAGGGCACCTTTTTGCGGATTTTAGAGAACAATAGTCATGGTGCCCCCATCCCTCGTCCCAATTGAGAAAGAACGTAAAGCTAGAAGTGGCGTATCCAAAACATATACTTGTAAATAGCCTTCCCATCTCAACATCCCACATATATAACGCCTGGTCCATGACCGACAAAGGAATTTATAATTCAGTAAAAAGATGAAAATTCTTGTCAATCGACAAGAGCCCTGTATCTTGTTTATTTTTATCTGTAAGTTTAACAGGTTGAAATTAGGTAATTTGCTGATCTGTAGATTCTATCAGATAACCCAGGTTTATGAATTTCAATGTTTACATATCAATTTGTTAATTGAAAATCTGTCTTCACTACTAGAGGAACGTGCCTTTCAACCTGTATTCTATAACTATGGTCGAGGCGGCTGTAATATAGCGGAGAAGGACACTTGAAAGAGACTGTAAAGAGGTTTTCTAGCCTTTTTTTTGTCTATTGGCGACACCTTTGACTTTTATTTAGAACATTCCAAGTCTTCCTCCGATGTCAATGGTTCCTGCAATTCCAGAAAGAGTTAACTGGAAATGACGCAGCCCCCGCAAGAGAAATCGTAACCAAGCTACATCAGATTACAATCACATTACAATAATTATGTCTACCTAATACCACTTGCAGCTACAGTAGGACACCTGGCGTCACAATCTGCAGCATGGTATATCAACTTGGTATGGAACCCGCCTCGTAGAAAATTCTTTTCAGGCGGCATGGCGTTGTCCGTCAACATAAAACCGAACAGGTGCAGAAAAGTGAGAAGTAAAACTTGCTTTCGTTTAATTCCAGAGACATCGCCACCATTTTGTCTTCTGTTACAGAAACGGTAGATAATTCGGAACTCACACTGAGTTTTCAGACCGATACAAATCTTAAAACAGCAAGTTACAGAAAATATACAGCTTTATAGCCTTGAAAACAGTAAATAAACTACGTTTTAACAATTTACCGACCCGATAAACCGTCTCCAGC